TGCTGAATGTTGCCCCGCGGGCGCTCTTGACGACGTCTTCGAACCCGAGCCACCCGGGAGATGTTGTGCTGGCGGCGTTTGTGTTTGTGGAGGCAGGTGCTGAACCACCCTTGGTCAGGGCGAGGATGTACGGTTTCTGCAAGACGCATTGGACCAGTCGGATGCTGAGGGGTGCGAAGCCGCTGTAGACGTAGGAGATATCTTCAGGTTCCTTCTCGCTGACTTCCTCGATGACGAGGCGGAGGTTCTTGCGGAGATAGCTGTAGTTAGTCTTGAGGCCAGCCTGCGCGACGCCGGTGGTAGGAAGGAGCATGGTCGTTGCGGAAGAGCGCGGCTGCAGAAGCTCCATCTTCTCCAAAGCATCGAAGGTGAGTAGATGCTGGTACCCGTATGCCTGCACGACCTGCTTCTTAAAGTTTTCGAGATCTCGCGCACGAAGACCCCCAGACATGCAGGACTCCAGACAAAGTAGACGAAGGACGGTCTTCAGCGGTGCATCTCGAGCGATGAGCTCTTCGATGGAGTCGTGTTGGTAGGTTGCATCAGCGCCTGCGGCGTTGTTCTGCTGGACTTCTAGGACTTTGCGGAATATGTCTGAGCGGGTGACTCGCATGATTTCCTCTGCGAGGTTGGTGTGTACTCGGAGGCTCTGGTGTTCTAGCTGGTATGTGGGGAGCTTGTTCACGAACTCGCGGAGCTGTGTGGTGGTTTTGGCTGTGTGGCGGCTTTCGTAGTCGCTTTCTAGACGCCGGGCCACTTTGTTTAGGATGTCGCCTACTATAGCGAAGTTTGCGTCACGAAGTTGACTAAAGAGCTGGTCGGAGTCGTCTAGTTGGATCTTGCGCTTCTGGCCTTGTTTTGAGGTCTGTTGTTGAGGGGCTTTGGAGGATTCCTGGGCAGCGCCTGGCCCGACAATGGTGGTATCGACATCTGCTTGGTTATGCTTTATACCGACAGTTTCGTCGATCAATCCCTCGTAGGTTAGTTGAGTAAGCAGAGCAGTGCCAAAATCTACTTCACGGTCGATAATGATCAAACTCTCCGTGCTGGCACTGGGCAGGAGCCCCCTCGCAGGAAGACCATTGAGGCCTGAGCTTTCTTCGGCATCGAGCTCCCTTCTCATCCGTAATAGTAGATCTGCCAACCGTCGGGCATTGTCACCCTTTCCAATTATCCGTGGGAAATAACCATGTCTCTGTTGGATATCCATGAGAGCCTTTGCGGACTGGAAAATACACCCGGGATCTTTATTCTGCGGGAATCAATACAAAAAGCTCCTCCATACGGATGGCATCACTTCTTACCAAGTAGAGATCACCAAAGGAACTGTCCAACTCCAAGGACAGAACATCCTCCTCCAGAGGCATGAAATACAACGGGAACTCGGAGATGTTCACATCCCCGATGATACCAGCCTCCTCGAGAATGGAGTTGCTTACGAGGGTCCGCCTAGGAACCCAGAAGATGAAGAACTCATGCTCCACATTTCCGTTCCTTTGCAAGCGCTTGATTTGCTCTGCAAGGAAGAATAAAATGTCAGCTCATTCTGATAGCATTCAATCGACTTGATAACAAAAGAGTGCCAGATAATTGAGCTTGTTTCGATATAGGGATCTTTTTGACTGATTACGTAGAGTAGGAAGTATCTGCGTAATCTACTGATTGTCCCATCGTCTACGATAAAATGCAAGAATGAAAGTAATAAGCACATACCTGCCACCGTCCGCACGTGGCGCGCCTTTTCAGCATGAACTAGAAATATAACATTGCGCTGCGACGAGTCCACATTGGCATTTTCCAGCAGGAAGACTCGGTCTACGCCATACTCCTGGAGCAGCGAGAACTTGACAAAAAGTCCGACCGGACCAGCCAGATCTTGGCTTATGACCACATTTTTCTTACCGCGGACCTGCAGCGATGTTCAGCCAACAGGGACGATGACAGATGACAGGTAACCCAGGAGCCTTAACTCACGCCTTCCAGGAGAGCCAATAGGTCCTTGCGAGCCTTGTCCCTGAAGTAGTCCGCATCAGACGCTGGATTTGGCGCCATGGATGTGCATTGCTCGCTGGGAGTTGTTGAATTGGAAGAAGTTGTCAATATGAGGACGAAAAAGTGAAATAAAAACAGCAAAGAGGTTGATGATTACATAAGGAGACTAGCCGCATTAGGTTAGCTTCACAAAGCCTCTCTGAGCCACGTATTGGTATTGTCACATACCTGTGGATACAGCGATAAACCCCAAATGTGGCCGTATTGGTAATACCATGGTCGCCATCATGTCTTACCTCTCCTGAACGACCATCTTTTCCATATCCTGTCATCATTTTTCTCGTTTCTCGTCTTTGTCGTGCGACTCTCAATCCGCCTATACAATCTGATTTCTATCACATTTGCACACAAAATGGGCCTTTTCAAGAAATCCGACGATGGCGACGACTCCAACCGCCGTGCCCTCTTCGGCCGCAAGAACAAAAGCCCAGCGCCAACAAACCCCTACGCCAAACCCATCCCAACAAACGCCTACACCAAAGCCAAGATCGAAGCCGGCGTGGCTCCCCTCCCCGCCGGTGAACTACCACTCGCCGGAGGCAAAACCCCCGCCGCGACCGCAACCGCACCCATCGCAGCCCCCGCCGGTCCTCCTGCTGGAGGATACGCACCGAACAAATATGGCAATCAGGGCGGATACGGAACAGATCGATTCGGCGGCGGTGGTGGTGGTGGTGCCGCCGCTACACGCTCTGGAGGCTACGGAGGTCTAGGCAGTGACCCCAACGACCCCGGCGATGCCAGTCGAGACGCACTCTTCGGAGGAGCAAGAGATCGAGTACAGCAGCAGCAACCCGGCGCTCCCCCGCCATACGAGGAAGGAAATGCCGCAGGAGCTGCATACGGGGGAGGCTACGGCGGCGGCAGCAATGATTACAACAACGTGTACCAAGAGCGCCAGCTCACCGCAGAGGAAGAAGAAGAGGAAGAAATCCAAGCCATCAAGCAGGAGATGCGCTTCGTCAAGCAAGGCGATGTAGCATCGACCCGCAATGCCCTCCGGGTCGCCGCGCAGGCCGAAGAAACCGGCCGTGAAACCCTCGCCCGTCTAGGCGCGCAGGGAGAAACCATCCACGACACAGAGCGCAACCTCGACCTCGCCACGATCGAGGGCCGCGTTGCGCAAGATAAAGCCCGTGAGCTCAAAACGCTCAACAAGAGCATGTTCCATGTCCACGTCGCCAACCCTTTCACTGCTTCGCGCCGCCGCCGCGAGCGCGAGGACCTCGTCCTCAACACCCACCGCCAGGACCGCGACACCCGCGAGGGTACTCGTAGTGAGGCGTTCCAGGCTAACCAGCGCATGGACCGCACTTTCCGTGAAATCGACAAGGAGGGCAAGCGGCCGGCCGGTAAGGCGCGTGCCAACGTCACAGAGCGCGCGAAGTACCAATTCGAAGCGGACAGCGAGGACGAGGGGATGGAAGATGAAATCGAGCAGAACTTGGACCTGTTACACGGCGCTGCGGGTCGAATGAACGGCCTCGCCCGCGCGACGGGTCGTGAGATCAATGAACAGAATAGACACCTGGAGCGGATTGCTGGAAAGGTATGCCTTCTCCCTGTCCCCTATAGTCATATTTGTATACATACTAACAATCATCCAGAGCGACTTCGTCGACGACCAACTGGCCATGAACAGAGACAAACTGGACCGGATTCGTTAATCAATCCCAGCATCAACATCGCATCACCCCCTCTCAACTATACAATCTCAATTGTTTCCTTACTGTATCCACTTACTACTCTTACATACGCTTATTACACGCCAACTCGACTGCCTGGTGCCGTTGAGCTTTAATAATCACCATCATCTTTTGCTGTCCTTTCGCTTGCTATTCCAGAACAAAGATCAGATTAGATCACTTTTTCGGCGTTATACTGTACTTGTACATTCCGTGCCTGCTTGTGTTATTCAATCGTCCCAAACAATCACTAATAATCAATCATAATACTCGCTACACACTGCTAAGCTGCTTATCTATCTCCCACATACGCATGCACGCTGTATGCTGTATGCTGTATGCTGTACTAAAACGCATACATCTGCAAACCCCTCATAACCAATCTGACACATCGAAACACAAGCCCCAAATGCCAGGACGCGTGGAGGTTTCAAATCCCAAATCCAACTCCATCTCCAACGGGACGGGGTCCAGTTGCCTGCTCGTTAGTACCTGCGGGTGCTGTGCTGTCAAATCCCTTGCGCGTTTCAGGTGTGTTTCTGCTAGGGGTCGATCAAACAATCATTCTAGTGGATCATTCTACAACGGTGGATGGAATATTACTTTAATTATACGGGTCAATCAGTTGTAGGCACACAGTCCATGTATTAGACAATATGTATATATAAGAAAATAAGCGACTGACAAATCCCCTTATGTCATGTCATGGTCACAAAGAAAAATTTGAGAAAAGAATGCCTGCTGCAAACTTTTTCCGGGGCACGGACTCGCGGAAAAAAGAAAAGGAGAACATAAGACAAAAAAAAAAGACACAACCCAGTTGGTATCTTGGCGAATCATCATGCAAACAGATCAACAAAATAAAAAGAAACCCAACTCCGACGGTCTAGCGAGGGAATAATAACCAATAAAAAACCAGGTATCCATCTGAAAACAAAAAACAAACCACCGGCACCTCTATGGTCGTAACAAAACAGGACATCACAAGTAAATCATCCCGACCCTGGAACCAGCCTTGTACATGACATCGAAAATCAAAGGCAATTAAGACGTAAGATGAGAAGAAAATAAACGTCCGGGTATCAATTCCCTGTCAATGGACAGAGACAAAAAATCGAAAAGAAATGACGAGAAAAAAAAATATAAAAAATAAACGAAGGGAAGAAAGTGTTGTACAAGGCCATGCAACACCGGCCAAAGCCACACGCGGTCTCAAACGTCGGCTGACAGGGCGGGGGGGTTGGAAGGGAGTAAACAAATGTTTTACTCTTCGTCACCGGATGGGCCTTCTTTATCTCCCTTGTGGACCTTCTTGTGTCGGCGCAGGTTTGAGACGACGGAAAAGTGTCGCCCACAGCCTTCAACGTCGCAAGCAAAGGCTAATTGGAGTCAGCATTGGCCGAAAATTGATAGTCAGGGGCAATCAAACTTACGCTTCTCGCCAGTGTGACTGTACATGTGTGTTTGTAACGAAGAAGGACGCGTAAAGCGCTTGTCACACACCTTGCACTTGTGCTTCTTTTGGGTGTTGGACGGCATCTTGGAGCTGAACTGGCTCATCATGGACTGGGGGCCAGGGGGAGCGGCACCGCTCAGCAATGTGGAAGGACGGGGGAGAGTGCGGGAGGAGATGCCATTGTCGTAGGAGTCAGAGGTAGAGCTGTAATCGGTGACGGAGGAGTCCACGGACGCCACAGAGGCGCTGTAGTAGGGGTAGTTGCCGCCAGAGGAGATGGACGAGCCGGAAGAGTTGGCGGAGGGGAAACCGTACGAGTCGCCCGAGCCCCTGGAGTTGCGAGGACCGTAGATGTTGCGGGGAGTGAGATCCTGGCTGAGAGCGACCATGCCGCGACTGGCATCCAAAGCATCGCCAAAAGTGGGAGCGGGGTGTTGCGATTGACCAACGCGCGAGTCACTATTCGCGAATTAGTTTGCATTCATCACTGGGAAAGCGAGGAAGATGCACTTACGCATGAGATATCCGGCGATCCTGGTGGTGAAGCGGCGGAGCATAACTGAGCGGCGCATAGCTGGCGGGGGCAAAGCTGCTCATGGAGGAAGCGGTGGTGTATGTTGGGGGGTGCTCAAACGAGGTGCGCGGCATCTCGTGCGGCATACTCATAATCTCGGGGGCTGGGGGATAGCTGGGCGCAGCAGTTGTGGTGGTGGCCGGGGTCGAGTAACTGGCCGAAGCAGGACCCGAGACCAACGAGGGCGCGGACACGGGGATATTCGCGGCGGAATAGGGCATGGACAAAGGCGAGGGACGGTTGTTGACATCCTCCTGCTTGATGGGGTTGAGAGGGGCGTAGACGGGGGCATTGGAGTGGGAAGATGAGTGCGCAGCAGCCCAGGGATCGGTGAATTGAGGAGGATTGGGATGAGGGAGGCCATGATGGTAGACAGAATCAAAGGCCATTCCGCCGTATGGGCGGTTCTGGTTCTCAAGGACCATCGTCATAGTAGTATGTTGTGTGGAAGTGTAAGTTAGGTATGCAGAGATGTTTGGAGAGGTTGAAAGTAGAGATGATCAGGTCGAAGAGGAAAGGATGAGAGAGTGATTGACAGAGATATAAGAGAACAGAGTAAGAAGAAGAAGAGTGAAAACATCTGGGGAAGGGGATCGGCGAAGCTTATGAACCGCCCCAGGGACGAAGGGAAGTGACGCTGCGGATCTTGCCCCTTTACAGTAACTATACCACCTGCTATACTATGTTATATATCGTTGAATAGCGGTTTTCTTGTAGATTCTACTCTCATCTCTCTATATCTATATACATTGTATATATTCTCTTTGTTCTCTCTATACATCTCTATACAACACGAGGCAAAACCTCCGGGATCGGACAAAAATACGCTGTACGTAATCCTGTAATATTCTTAGCTTCTTGGGACGGGAAGTATTTTATTTTATTTTTTTTTTAATTTTCCTCAGAAAAAAAAAAAAAAAAAAGAGGGGCCATAGAGAAAAAGATGCTCAGGTACGTCAGAAAAAAAGAAAATCTAAATGCCCCTATTTTCCTTTCAGCCTGCCTATTTGGGAATGGTCCCTTTTCTCCACCATAACCGTTCCGGGAGTCGCCACGCTGTGTATACAGAATAACGAATGCTCCATGGAGGATAATCTTATGAAAAAAAAAAAAAAAAAAAAAAAAGGGGAATATTATAATGAAATAGAATAGAAAATATACGTACAATTACTGAGAAATTCCTACTGATATTGAGATATCTACAGAAATATTAGTACATGGGAGGGTTGCGAGTCTGTATTCATGCCGTTTACCAGCAAATCACAGACCATGGATTTGGACCCTAGTCACGTACGGGAAGACTTGATACATCACCCAACTCTAACTCTCTCTCCAATTCGATCCGTGGATGACCCAGATGAACCCGGTGGGGCTCCCACTGGGCTGGTATATCTCTGTACAGAGAGTACATACATACAGTCCTCTACAAGTATTCCCCTGTACTCTGTACAAGTACACAATAGTACAGATACGGAACCAGCCGGATGAGCATTTACCTCCACATATTCCACATGAGAGATTGCGTAAATAAAATCCTGCCTCGAGGGAAGAACAAGAACAGACCTACTACAAAGTCTAGCAGAAAAAAAGAGTACGCGTTAAGTGGGGATGATGAGCCGTGTCATCGCCGCACTAGTCCTGATACGGAAGTGTACGAACTGCCGGGATAGGCTTAGCTCTTCGGGTGGCATGCTTTGATTTTTTTGTCCAATCAAAAACCAGTATCAGAGCGGTGTGGGACCCACTACAATCCAGGGAAAGTCGACCATGTGTCTGGGGTCCACTGGGTTGTGGTTGGTGGGAGTTTATCCTGTGGCCAATGGGTGCTCGGTTACTGTTGTTTCTTTTCACTTTAGGAGACAGCTCCGAAGGTTGGATGAAGAGTTTGAGGTTTCTGGTAAAATAGCCGATGTTATTTCCATGTTTGAGTGTGAGTTTGTTGTTGAATGGGAATGGGGGGCATATAAAGAGCGCTCGGAACCGCCAATCATGACGATCTGCCGTGTGGAGTAGACCCTGACAGCTGTAGATTGCAGTGTTCAGTACTACCAGCACGGAGTACATAGTAGAGATACAGATTACAGAATTCAATAGACTACAGATATGATTGATAGTAACAGACTGAGTACAGATTACATAGTAGATACTGATTCTTACCATAGTATACCACGGAATACACAGTACGAGTTCAATTCCATACTCTTGTGCAAGTACTGAACGAGGACCTTGAGAGCAATTCTCCGTGCAGTCCTGACCAGCAGCCTCCAAGTTTGCCGCGGATCCGCCGTTATCCTGACCCTCCCAACCAGGAAAGTGCCAAGACATGGGACACGGCAGATAGTCGATAGCCGATATTGGTTGGTGGAGATTGCCCAATCACAGACCCTGGGGCTTTAAGAGCTGACGCGTGCACATCCTTTTTTTGCCTGTTTGGCGGCTGTTGCTTATTCTGAATAGGGTATTGCCATCCATCTTCGCTCTCCATGCTCAAAACAGACACTCCCCACCCACACACGCTCATTCACACACTCACCCATGTCCATCTAGATCGAATCCCTGGTGCGATCTTGGGGGGTCCGCTTTGTCTCCCGGGCCAGGTCAGGGCCAGTACGGAGTTACAAGCACGGAAGTACAGCCACAACTTTGTGCATCTGAAACACCGGTCCACAGGGTTTTCCATGGCCTGTAGAAATCTATAGGATGTTTATTCTACAGATTGTCTGCGGATCGAATTGTGGTCTCCGTAGCCTACTCCATGCCTAATATCGGAGACTACCCCAAGCGCAATATGACGTAGATACTCTGTATGTGACAATGCATCTGTGCTCCATACAGAGTACAGAGTACACTAAACTACTCTGTACACTAGCACTACAGACGTACTCTCTCTATCTCTCTCTCTCTAGGTACTCCGTAGAGACGAAATATCAGGAACAAGCTTTAACCATCACATCTGCAGAAAGTGGGGCCTGTCTTGGCACATATCATTTGTTTCTGTCCAATCCATACCATACAGAACAGCGCATAGTACTGTGTAGAATAGGAGCGCAGGAGTACTGTCCTCCTAAAGTCCATAGTCTTGGTATTGATTCTGTTTGTATGTGTACGGAGTCCAGTGGGCAATGACATTATTGTGCATTAGTCTGTCGACAGCATAAACTAGTCTCCATACTGTGACACTACATGTGACTCCATGGTAATATTCCGATGCGACACAGGCCCGTTGACTATTGACTATTAACGGGTGTCACTCGTTTGCTCTGTAGGGTGTCACGTGAACCGAGACGTACTCCATACATACGGAAATAAATACATGCGAGATTTATCAGTTGCCTCATCATCTTATACCAAGACTGCGTACGTACTCCAGTAATCCCCAACGTCATTTCTCTCTAAATATATCAATCGCTTATGGAATATTCTGACCAGGATAGGATACAGTATTGTACCTTTTCCATACAGAGTACAACCCCTTTTCCACCCCCAAACCAGAAAAAGCAACAACCACAGTCCGTGCCAGATCAGTCCCAGTCCCAGTCCCAGTCCCAACCCCAACCCAATCCAGTCCCCGAGACCCAAACCAAACTAAGCCAAACTCGTCCCCGTCCAGCGCCAGCCCAAAAAGTGGCAACACCACTGCCTCCAATTGGCCACATCCCCGATATCCGCCCGCTTGAGCCTAAAAAGCGTAAAAAAAAAAAAGCAGGGTAAATGCCGCGAACCACAAACCGCCCTCCAGCCAACCATAGCCCCGCAATGGCGTCTGCCAAGAATGCACATGACTGTTTTCCGAGGGGGCGCTGACGCGGCCCGCCTTGGCATGTTTCTTTTGCTGGTTTAGGTTTAGTGCAGGTGTTCGGTTAGTGGGATGCCAAGACTGAGGTTTTGAGGATAACGGTGATAGTCCTGATTTGCGCGCTGCGTTAAGCGACTGTACTCCAATGCAGTAGGACATGATTATTTTTTCCTCGGTAGCAGTTGTTGATATTTCCAGCGGACACGTGAAATTGAATTGTAGGGAAGCATTGAATTTGACCAGTCCGACGGAACAAGCTGCGCATACCGGAGAGACGGTCCGTATATGCCCGGTGTGCGACATTCTCAGCCCGTTTACATTGGTGCCCTGGAATAGTGTTACACGAGATCTGCTAGTTCCTGAACCATAGTAAAACCATGGATTTCGTCGAGGCCGTTGTCAATTGGAGCATGCCTTATTCCGATCAGTGCATCGGGGGTATGGCATCTGCGGATTCGTACGAGATTCGTGCTGAACTGGCCGATACATTTCCATACACTGGTGAGGGTTTTGTGTTTGGTTGTAATGGTATTGTAGGCATTAGACCATTCCAAAACCTCATGGGGCCCAAATGTAGACCATGCGCCAGTCTCAGACCGTATCTTCTTGACCAAAGCTTGGACAACTGGGAAGATATATCTTTGATATCGTCAGATATATATTTACAACCTTTGCGTAACAACTCAAATCACATCCTCGGGGTCGACAGAGTTAAAAGAGTTCTTTTTAACTCGCAGCTTGTTTAGCAAGAATACCACTCTCATCCAGTGTACAGACCGACATTCCTGGGTTTGCCTGGCCAACGCTCGATGTTGATGTGCCGACATTGACATTCAGCCAGTGTCAGCTCCTATACACTGTCTTCCAGTAGTCAGAAATATCAAGCAGACACAAGAAATGACATCTTAAAGTCCTTTCTGTCCTTTATAGTATCAGTTCAACAATAACGATCAAAATACTCCGTACAAAGATAGACATGAGGTGAAGTATGCCAAGGCGGTCCCAACCGGCAGAACTAGCGACTAGTATCAAACCCTGTCCATCTTGGAGATCAACCGGACCGATCAACAGTCGATCTACAGATATATAATGTACATCTGTACCCTGTATGTACTCTGCTATGTACATCACTGAATTATGCCGTACGGTGTAGATCAGTTTCTCACGGCCCTATATAAGGCACAGCGCCCGCCGCCGCCCGGCCAGCCCTGCGTCCGAAAACCGCCCCCGATGTCAACCCACTTCCCCCGGGGTAATTGTCATAGAATAATCCCCCGACCATTTCGCCGGCACAGTATAGACCGGGTACCTCTGTGCCGGTTGTTGATATTACGCCCGCTGTTTCGGGGTTGATGGATAGCCCGCCGAAGGTAAATGTGATGCCGGCGCTGACTTTGACGGCTAGGAAGGGGGGTTGATCGATGGGGAGGGCCCAGTTGGATTTGGGGATGGATAGGCCAGAGTTAGTCGACTGAGTCAAGAGACTGTCCTTGACAGATGGGTCCCATTTGCGCTCTGTACCGTTGTTTCGGTCGTCGTCCTGTCGCGCATACACCGCACGGTTATACTCCGCAACCGACTCGACGAAACGACGAGGGTCCCCAAGACCATGGCCTCGGGCACACTCCTCCGCCAGCTCGTCGATCGACGGCGCCTCAATCCGCTGCACGACTTCAGCCCGATACTCTTCCTCCCGTAACCAGGAACTCGTCCGCTTGTCCCAGATCTGAAACGCCACATGGCCTGGCTGATTCAGGATCGCTCGTCCCACCACGGCATACGTGTAGTTACGCATGTCAGAACCTTCGTCGATGAATCGGTTGCCTTGCTGATTAACCATGATCCCCAGCGGATACCCGGACTTGGTGTACTCGTTCGAGACTTCCCGGTTACCTGTATCTGGGGTCGCGTGCGCGTCCCACGCGACACAATGACACCCAGACCAGTTACCACGAGGTTGTGCGGAGACATACTGATCCTGCAGGGCCATCTCCAGACACTCACCAGTGTTATACGGCGTGCCGCGCACAAACGCCATATCCCAATTCGGCCCGAGATACTGCGCGCGCAGCCGTGGATTCGCCTCGAACCCACCCGCCGCGAGAATCACAGCACCTGCACGAATCTCCTTCTCTATCCAGCGACAATTCGCATGAGTGTCCCTATCACAATACGAAACAACAACACCCCTCACCCTCCCCATCTCCGCATCAGTAACGAGCCTCTTCGCAGCCGTTTCAAACACAACCTCAACCCCCAACTCCCTCGCAGCATCCCATAAATCCTTAACCAACCCCTTCCCCCCATCCTCTGTCTTCAACGCCAATCCACCCCAAAACTTCAGCCGTCCATCAACCTCATACGCCTGCCGATTAAACGATAATTGAAACCGCACGCCAGTACTCGTCAACCACTTCACCGTCTCATTCGAATCCTCAACCAATGTCTTCGAAAGAGTAGCATCCGTCCGTCCACCCGTAACACGCTGCATATCATCCATAAATGCCTCATTCGTGTACGGCGGTATATCGATTTTAGTAGCTGCGGATGCATCAACATTATTGACGAGCGGGAGGAGGTCTGATAGACCATTGTGCGCGGTGCGGAAGGCGCCGGCTGTGAAGTAGGAGTTTCCGCCGGCCCAGTGCTTGGGGCATTTGTCGATTAGGAGGATTCGTGAGTTCTTATTGTTGGGTTGGTTTTGTTGGAGGGTTTGCGCGGCGGAGATGGCGGCGCAGAGGCCGGCGTTGCCGCTGCCGATGATTAGGATGTCGGTTTCTGTGGGGACCATGTTAGATGGTGGGGATTGGAGTGTAGATGTAGGGCGGATTGTATTTACCTGGGCATTGTGAGGGTGGGGTTGGTATTTATCATGAGTAGGTTCAGACATGGAAGTGATGAAATGCGGAGGTCCGATGCGGGGGATCAGCTTTACTACGGGGGGTCCGACATTGCATCGAGTATCGTTCGGAATAGCCGTAAGAAACATGGACATTGAATAATGAATTTTCAAATCTATACACTAATCTATCCAAGTATCATACCAAAATGCCGCATCAATACTTAAATCCAACCCCAACCCCCATCAACCTCCCCTGATACCTCTCCACAACCTCCCCCAACCTAACCATAACTCCCGCCGCCAACGTCCTCACCTGCCCCTGCGCATCATCACCACCAGGACCAACCCCAATCCCCTTCGTCGCTGCACCCACACCCGCAGGCATCCTCTCAAAAACCTCCCCAGCCCACTCCCTCAACTCCATAACCTGCGCCGCAAAGTCCGTCACCAGACGCTCTTCACCAGTAACGCCAGAAGAGATGTTCAGATCGACGACTGCAAGGAAGAAGGAGAGGAGGGCGGATTGGATGGTTGGGTCGTCGGAGACCGGGCGGGTGTAGAGGGAGAGGAGGAGGGAGAGGGATTCTTGGGTTAGGGTTGGGAGGAGGGGGGTGTGCGGGCCTGTTGTGGAGAGGGTGAGGGAGAGGGTTTGGAGGAAGAGGGCGAGGAGGTGGGGGGTTGCGAAGGGGTTGTAGGAGGGTGCTGTGGAACTTTTTGTTTATTAGAGATTATTTTCTTAGATGGGGAAATGAAGAGACTTACGAGGAGAACTGCATCATCATCATGTCGAACCGGCCCTTTAGTGGGTAGAAGAATCCCTCTGCTAGGACCTTGTGGAGATCTTTGATTGTTGACTTGTGTTTCTGGGCCTCGCGCTGCTGGCGCTTCTTCTCGACTTCCATCCGCGAGGAGAAGGTTCGTACTTTAAGTGCGTTGGGACCGGAGGCTGAATCTGCGGCGTTTGCAGCTAAGGGTTGGAGGGATGCCTGGGAGAGCTGCTTGGTTAAGCTTGAGATTGGCGACTCGTCGGTCTTATACAGCGCTTCCAGACTTTCCGATAACCGCTTGGACGGGAAGGAGGCGTCGGGTATTGCGGGGAGACCCAGGCGTTTCGCATCTTCCTCCCCATTCCCGGCGAGTTCGCGAGCACTCAAACCGAGAGCCGTGAGGATCGCAGAACGCTGGACTTGCGAGATGTCGCCTTCAAAATACATGGCGGAGAACCAGCGGCCCATCTTCAGTGGCTGAGCGACGATGAGCGCGATCATGCTCTGTAGTCTGTGTTCATGAAACTTCGGGGTGTCGGTTTGTTCTTGGAGGCCGACGATGGTGAGGGCTAGTTCTTCGATGTTTTCTGTGAGTTCAGTACCAAAGCCGGTTTTGCGGCGAATCAGAGATGGGGAGCTGGAGATTGCGAGGTTGTAGCGGTCGATGTTGTCTGCGTCTCGGAGGTATGTTACGAGGTCGCGAATATACACTGGTGCTATTGGTTTGTTTCTCTGGACTAACGTTGGGTCATCGTCGTCGTCGGATGGGTCGTCGTCTGGTTTCTCGTAAGGGATTAGATCGTCGTCTTCCTCTTCCTCTTCATTTTCAGATTCTATTTCTTCGATGGCCACAATCTTAGAAGACTGCGGTTTGGATCGTGGTTGGGAAGTAGGATCTGAAGACAAGTTTCTGGCGGGTTTCTGCGTCTTGAGTGCCGGAGTGCGGATTGAGTCCAAAGACCCAAGGGTGTCTTTCATATTGATGAGATTCAGATACCACAGTGCCTCTTCGCTTTCCATCTCCTCGAGGTCGAATTTCATGCCTTTCCCGGACTCTTCAATTAGTTGCGAGATGGCAGTACCGACGATAATGCCCAAGAAGCGTGCCCTGATAGATGATGCTGCCAGGCGGTTCGAGACACCGCTTAGGAAGATACCAGAACGTCCTATTTCTTTCACAGTCATGGGATCTGTTCGTTGGAGGTGACCAGCAGCTAGGAGAACGGCTTGTGTATTTGCTAGGCCATGTTAGTAACTCATATGCAAGTAAATAATGATGAAACATACCTTCCTGACACCTGCTTGGTGCATGTTTAATGTAAAACTTGTCGCCAAACTGCCCGAGACTTTTTATGAACAGATTTCTCAGGTAGTCTGCCCCAGTGTTGTCTGCAAACATGGTCACAAGTGCTCTGCGTAGTCCAACCGTCTGAATAGAACCACCCTGCCCCTTCGAGAGCCAGTCCACAACCTGGCTCTCTAGGTGTGGTCGATTGGAAATGACGCTTGAGCACAAGGTTGCCACGCCACTGATCGTTTGGTTCGAAGTCGGATCCGCTTCAATGGGGAGATCTTCCGAGAGAAATCTTTTCTCAACATCACGGAAGACGGCTTCTGTCACTGCTACCTGCTCCGTCATCCGTAGATGATCGACAAGTGCGCCGAATTGCTTCGGAAAGGTCTGGTCAATGAGAAGGCCGCTGTAAACACCGCTGACCAATTGACCTAGGCAAAGTCAGTTGTGGATAACTGGAGTTTAGCCACCTGCAATTACCTGTATATCCAAGGCTCAATACCCGTCCCGTAAAAGACGCAATCGCTTTCCAAGCATCCTCGTCGTTAAAGTCGATCTTTGAACAGAACCGACAGATATTATCACCTATCCAGGATGCATACTTGGGACCCTCTCCAACCCAAGAGACCTTGTTTAATCTGGAGAAATCTTTGACCAATGTAAGAGACTCTGCTGCAGTAGATAAGACTCTACTGGCGGCAATGAGCGAAATGAGCTCTCGCCAGCTAACCTGCTTTTGCGTCTCATTAGGATAGACAGTAGAGATATCCATATACATTCGGAACAGAAAGTCGCTCGGCTCTAACAGAGCAGAAAGCACCTCAAGGATATCTCTAACTCGAATGTCACTGCTGGAGCCTTTCGCCTCTGCGGACGATAAACGAGAAGCCGCTATCAAGGAACGAAGCTGGGCCACCAACGAGCTCACGCCGGCAACGCTGCACAGACATCTCAGCAAGGCCCCTCGCAGTTTAGATCCAGCCGTTCTAGAACCCTTGGATTTCGCATTTAATGTGTCCCAGACATCAGGAATAGTGACGCTGACTAAGGTCTGGAGAATTTGAGCTGATATCGGACTTGGGATTCTGATATCGAATTGATCTGGCGTGATGCTCCTGTTCGATGGATCCAACACATTGAGCACTTGCGAGAGGTGATCACGATCAGGTCTTGACTTCAGCACGTCCAGGATATAAATTGGTGATGTTGGGTCTCTTGCCAGCTCTGATATATTTGTGCGGCGCTCCAAGCCATGTTTGTTAGAATCTGCTGTAGACTCCAGAGACGGTCGCGAGTCGCGCGTAACTGTTTTGACTGCCGTTAAAAGCCCGTCCATTTTTCTTCAACAATCATTCCTCTTCCGTATTCTTTTCACGAAGCGAGTTCGTCCTTCGTCGCGACATCTAAAAAGTGGGAGGAGATTGTATGGAGCGAAGTTGTCACGTGCCGCTGATTCAATCATTCAACCATCTCCTACAGCTCGCAACTTCACCAGAATCATCAACCTCCTCAGCGTTCTATCTCTGTGGAAATACATTCTTCATCCTATTCACAATAAAGCGTATAGACTTTATTTAATTCTCGCACTACATTCAGAACCTCAGATCGTTTTTAGGTGCCACGACTACTCGCCCGCGGGGAACTTATCGCAGCTCTATCAACATGGCAATCGCAACAATGAGACCCGTAGACCCTGCACTTCGATGGTAGGGCATGAGTCATGCAACCAAGTGAAACGGATGTTAACACCGCGCAGGAAGAGTCTTTACAAGGCCCTGAATAAGCCGGGTCCTTCCAGTGATGAGGATTGGGTCCCTGGTCCAGAGACGATAGATGCTTTGGAATCGTCAAAAGTCTTGTAGGATTCCACATGAAATGCATTCAAATCTATTTACTTACATAAATTTCAGGGTTATGTTAGTCTAGAGACACCCTTCTTGCCGTTTTGAGTGGCCGCTAATAGACATCAGTGGCGCCGGAGGTCTAGGATGTGACATTCTGAAGAACCTTGCGCTGTCCGGATTCAAAGATATCCATGTTATTGACATGGGTAAGTACTTTCAGGATGTACAGCTTCATTGAGCCTTGGTCTAACATGCTCTACAGACACAATCGATATCTCCAACTTGAACCGACAGTTCTTATTCCGCCAATCTGACATAGGAAAGCCTAAAGCTGAGGTTGCTGCAGCATTCGTCGAGAAGCGGGTGAAGGGTGTTAAGATTACCCCGTACGTGGGCAAGATCCAGGATAAAGATGAAGACTATTACATGCAGTTCAAGATCATCGTCTGCGGTCTTGACAGCGTTGAGGCCAGACGGTGGATTAATTCGACACTCATTGGAATGCTTGATCCCGAAAACCCTGAGAGCTTGAAGCCGCTTATTGATGGTGGTACAGAGGGTACGACTCCTTGTCAAGTATCTCGAGAAGGAATAAGAGCTAACTCGGTATAGGATTCAAGGGTCAAGCCCGTGTTATTCTGCCTACTCTTTCATCCTGCATTGAATGCCAACTCGACATGCACGCTCCTCGTCCTGCCGTTCCCCTCTGCACTATTGCAACCATCCCCCGGCAGCCCCAACACTGTATCGAATGGGCACACCAAATTGCCTGGCAGGAACGGCGCAAAGACGACACCTTCGACAGCGACGACATGGAGCACATCGGCTGGGTTTACGAGAACGCCCTCGAACGAGCGAAACAGTTCCACATCCACGGAGTGACATTCCAGATGACACAGGGAGTGGTGAAGAACATCATCCCCGCTATCGCCTCGACCAACGCCGTTATCGCAGCCTCCACTACTTCTGAAGCATTGAAGATCGCCACATCGTGCAACCCGTATCTGGAGAATTACATGATGTATGCTGGAGAGGAGGGCGTCTACACCTACACGTTTGAAGCAGAGAAGAAGCCCGACTGTCCCGTGTGTGGAAACCTTGCGCGCAAGATGACTGTAGACTCGAATATGACGCTGGAGGCCTTCATTGAGAGTCTCGGGGAGCGGGCCGAAGCGCAGCTGAAGAAGCCTAGTATGCGGACGGAAGAGAAGACACTCTACCAGCGGTTCCCGCCTCAGTTGGAGGAGCAAACGAGACCTCACTTGAAGCTCAAGATCAAGGATCTGGTGACGAATGGACAAGAGATTGCGGTCAGTGACCCTGCGTATCTGATTGACTTCCGGTACCAGTTGATTTTCCAATGAGAGCACCGCAGATGAGAGGATGGCTATTTATTGAGATGAGACATGATATATACGATAATTCGCTTTAGGAGCTAGAAAGCCATGTCTAAGAATTAAAGCTGTATTCTTCGAAACTTGACCAGATTTCTCTATCCAGACTAGACCCCGCCGTCCCTTCAAAAGGGAAAACTTTTGACAGTAAACAAACACTTTCTTTTCTGTAACTGTACAACAAAGCTGAAAGCGACAACAGAAGAAAGCCAACGCCAATAAATGCATGATATACCCAGAACGCAAGAAACGACATCCAAGAATAGCATCAGATCACCGCATAAGATCCGACAGGTTGCGCTTCCATCTCGCGCATTTGAGCTTCAGCACCTTCACGCTCTCTAGGAAGAGAACGTCACTGTCGAACTGGCCGGTGCTCTCGACGTTGAAGACGAAGTGGTCCCGCACACGACCAAGCTTCACCTTGTCCTGGAACTCCTCGTGTCTCAAGCACTCCCTGCTAACGGTGTCCTTGAAGGGGTCGCACACGACTGCCTTCATTTCACCAGTCTGGTTCTCGTACCCGCTTCCCTTCTGGGCGGCCTCTTCCTGAGTAACGGGTTCCAGCCCAATGACGCCCCTGGGGAAGCACTTGGCGAACTTCTTGGCGTCTTCTCCGATGATGGGTTTCGTGATCTTGATGTCCGGGAGGAGACGGTAGGTGGCCGTAGCCACGGGGGAGAACTTGGCGTGGTCGGCTCCGATACCCTTGACACAGTGCAGTTCCATGTCGATCTTCTGTCCTGGACGAAGCTTGGCGACCAGAATGTTGGGGTTAACGGGCTGGATAGCGTCATCTCCGACAAAGTACTCTTCCTGACGACCAACAGGATGGAAAGTGATGTCCTTGGCATAAACGTGCGCATTGCGGTAGAGCTTGCGCGGGTCCGTCTCTGCCCGCTCAGCGTCGGGGTTCTCGGTGCATTCGATATCCAAGCGCAAGACAATGGTGTTGTAGTCGCTAGGCGTGCTGCCGCTATCCGGGTCGTCCTCTGTAGGCTTCTTGAACCAGCGCATCCGGTTGATGCCTTCGACGGAGCCCTTGAAGGGGATCAGACCCAATCGCGATGCGAGAACTTCATCTTGGATCACGGAGGTGTTGTTGTGGACGAAGACGAATTCGATGGCGAGGGTGGGCACTTCGGCCATGAGGATACGGCGGAAGGCATTCGCAATGGCTGCATCGACACCAACTAGGGAGAAGGTGGCTTCGAATCGGTCGTTGCGGTGGAATTCGATGTTAAAATCCTGTTGTCGCATGTGAGTAAAGGCGAAAAAAGAGAAAAAAGAGACCCTATGAAACCGGATGGATTCCAAGATTGCAGGTACTAATCAGACATACCCTCTTGAACTTTTCCAAAGACCACTCATGCGACTCACCCGGCCAATGGCCTGGGAAGTCTGTAGAGGGAATGTTCGTTACGGTCTCTGCATTGATGCCGACGAGCTGCAGCGCAGTTAGAAATGAGTTCTTCATTTTTGGTAGAGCTTTTCAAGCATACCCGCCTGCGATCCAGCTCCTCCTGCGACGGAATTAAAGGCGCCATGGTGGTATGGTTAATGGTGAGAGTAAAGTTGAAGCCGGAGTGACGCTCAAGATAATTTCTTCGGCGGAGAGTAAAATTTTTATCTGCCTCAGGCATAAGGTTACCTATTTATTCCGTACACACTAGCGCCAAAATTTTGGCGGAACGGACAATCCCCCGGCTGTCCGAACGGCGGCGGATGGAGCTGACTAGGTGCAGAATAAACGGGCCAAAAGCCAACCAGAAGCGGCTTGATGACCACAAGCAGCAGCACGTGACCATACCAAATTGCATCTCGGCGCAACATCCCAAGCATCATCCGCCGTTGACAAAAGTTGCTGCGTCGAATTGCCCTCCGGATTGAGGACCCGCCAGCCCAATACCCTCCTAACACCTTCTTATCCTCGTCCTCCTCCTCTCCGCTCTTCCCGAATGGCTGCTCCATTTGCTCGCCTGGCGGGCAATGCGCCCAAAAGGCTTTGTCTCCGCTCCTCCACCTTGAACAGACACCCTGCTATCTCCAGACGTTCGATAGCTACCTCTCTCCCTCGCCGAGCGGCCGAGCCCACCAGCTACCAGGCGACGACACTCATCCCGACCGACCCGACCTTCACACACCTCGCAAACAAGGAAGGCAGACCTGACACCGAGTATGCCGCAGGCCTGGAATCCGAAGACGAAGGGGTCGGCCGCAAGATCCGCCATTACACTGTCAACTTTGGTCCTCAGCATCCTGCTGCTCACGGTGTGCTTCGGTTGATTCTGGAACTCAATGGCGAAGAGATTGTCCGCTCTGATCCTCATGTTGGATTGCTGCACCGTGGTACCGAGAAGTTGATTGAGTACAAGACCTATATGCAGGCTCTGCCTTACTTTGACCGGTTGGACTATGTGTCTATGATGACGAACGAGCAGTGCTTCTCGCTGGCTGTCGAGAAGCTGTTGAATGTTGAGCTTCCTGACAGAGCCAAGTGGATCCGGACGCTGTTTGGAGAAATCACCCGTATCCTTAACCATCTCATGTCTGTTCTTTCCCACGCAATGGATGTTGGTGCTTTGACACCTTTCCTGTGGGGTTTCGAAGAGCGTGAGAAGCTCATGGTATGTGATTTGAAGTGACGGTATCCCGAGATGGCTACTGATTGAGGATTGTTTTGATAGGAATTCTATGAGCGTGTTTCCGGTGCCCGTCTCCACGCCGCCTACGTCCGCCCTGGTGGTGTTTCGCAAGATATCCCCGTCGGTCTCTTGGACGACATTTACCAATGGGCCACCCAATTCGGTGACCGTATCGATGAGACTGAGGAACTTCTAACAGACAACCGTATCTGGAAGGCCAGAACCCAGGGTGTTGGTGTTGTCAACGCCACGGATGCATTGAACATGAGTTTCACTGGTGTCATGCTCCGTGGTTCCGGTGTGCCATTTGATATCCGCAAGTCCCAGCCCTACGACGCCTACGACCAGGTCGAGTTTGACGTCCCCGTTGGTGTCAACGGTGACTGCTACGACCGTTACCTCTGCCGTATGGAGGAGTTCCGTCAATCCCTCCGCATCATCCATCAGTGCTTGAACAAGATGCCCCCTGGCCCCGTCAAGGTCGAGGACTACAAGGTCTCGCCTCCTCCCCGTGCTGCCATGAAGGAGAACATGGAGGCTCTGATCCACCACTTCCTTTTGTACACCAAGGGTTACTCCGTGCCCCCTGGCGAGACCTACTCTGCCATTGAGGCTCCTAAGGGTGAGATGGCCGTGTACTTGGTCAGCGACGGTAGCGAGAGACCCTACCGGTGCAAGATCCGTGCTCCTGGATTTGCCCACTTGGGTGGGTTCGACCAGGTTTCCCGTGGTCACTTGCTGGCCGATGCTGTGGCTATTATTGGTGAGCATCCATCCCCCTTCGATGTGAATCGCACACAACTAACTTTGACTAGGTACTATGGATCTTGTGTTCGGTGAAGTCGACCGGTAGAATGGTATGAATGATATCTATTTATTGTTATCTTCTGGTGCTTCTGTAACACTATACACAAGAATACAAAAACGAAAAACAGAAGATAATCGCGTTCTTCTCTCCTTCCTATCCCCGGATATACCCGCGGGAGAACCAACAGCAGTGTAACTGGGCTGTACCATTTCTTTGCGGCGTTGTCCTTTTCATGTCCTGTCCTCTACATCTTTTATTTGTGTCTGGTTTGATTTGTTATAAATCTGTGTATAGTGCATGTCATTTCTTTCTTTTCAACTCTTATCTCAGTACGGTAGTAAGGTGGTTTAAACAAAAGTTCATGACTAACTATACCAATTCTACCAACTCCAATGACTATGAATAACATGATGATACCATAACATAACAATAACCAAATATGAAAAACACCGGACAGCGCCAGCGCATGCAAATCAACCTCCTCTTCCCCCAATCCCTATAAATATATACCACGATCAAACATTATCATCATCATACTGAAAATTAATATCCCTCGGCCGGCGCTTATTATACGACACAAAATCACTATCCCCCGGCGGCCGCTCATCCCGCGTATTCGCCGTCAACATGCTCTGGATACTCATGCACACGCTCTCCACCGTCTGCACGGGCGACCACCCCGCCGTGCTCAGCAGGTCCAGGCAGATTATCCCGTTGCTGTAGATGTGTGGGTGGATGGGGATTGGGCGGGGGGTTTCGGAGGTTGGGGGGAGGAGGATGAATTGGACTTCGGGGGGTTCTGTGCCACCATCATCCAGCTGTTAGCATTGCGCTTTGTGTATACACCCGTTTGTATATGTGCTGGTAGGTATGAGGGAGGGAAAGGTAGGGAAATACCGATGGGATATTTCTGGCTAAAGGTAAATTTAAGACGGTAGATCTGGTTCTGGTATAGCGGGTTGTCGTCGAGGACGCGGATGTCCATTTGCCATTCTTCTAGGTTGTCGGATTTGGCAAAGGAGATTCCAGGGGGGAGGTGGCCTTGCATCTGTTTCTGGTGTTAGCTGGAGTTCTGGTCTGGACGATGGTGGTATGTATGGGATTGCGGGGGTTGTGCTGTCGTAAGTCGTGTAAATTGGGGGCTGATGGACGAATGAATGGGATGGGTATATCGAAGGATCAGGGATCAGGGTCAGGAAGGAGGGAGAAATACCTTAGCAAGCTCCTATTCCACCATCACGGTTAGCATCAATCAAACCAATCCGATCACACAGATGGAGGGGCAGGAGGAGGGGCAAACCTTGCTCAAACGCTTCCCAGCGAACATATTGACCACTATACCGTCCGTCCTTCGTTATTCCGAGCGTGAAAAAAATCTCCAATCGATGCTGTTGTTGGTCTGTACAAGGTCCATGTACCGTTATGTCGCACCGGTCGTGTATGACGTTCGAGACCGAAACCGAAACCGAGATCGCGGGGAGCGTGCGGCTGGCTGGCTTCCGCTGACGTGGGAATGGAACCTGGCGAAGCAAACAGTGAGACAATACTAAGATAATGCGACAGCGAAATAGACAGATAGAAAGTAGAGAAATACTGGAGATAGACAGTAAATAAAGTGACTACGGCCGAACACGAGGGGACCAAGACGGAATCACCTGCGGACAAGCCCGGGCCGCTAATTGGCCCGGACGCCACGAACGTCGGGCACATGATTTCTACGAGTATTCAGAGTATAGTACGGCATGACTGAATCAGATGAAGAGTAGTTTGTTTTGATGACTAGGTCATGTTAAATATATAAGCCCAGGGTATGGAATCAACAGACAACGACAAAGCGCTCAGAGTAGTAGATGGGGAGTCATACCGGCGTGCTGATTTGGTCCGCTCCGTATACAAACGGAGTACGGAATGCTTTAAGCATAGAGCTCTATTACATTACTGAGTGCATTATGAAGCTACAACTAGAACAAATGATACCTCTCTTTTCTCTTCTCTACAGGTCTCCTCAAGGCAGGCAAACAGCAGTGAAAAGAAGACTGATAATCTTCTATAGAGTAGAGCACCTCGAACCCCAAGACAAGCAGGGGGTTAGGGCAGTGGGTTCAAAAGATTCCCAGTTAATCCGAAGACCAACCGAAGCAGTTCTATATATTCGTGCCAAGGACGTTCGTTACTGGTAAGCGAGCAGAGCTGCTGGTGGTGATATAATTATTGCATGTTGAGTTGAGCTGACTAGAGGCAGCAGCCCAATGTAATGGTCATATCTACATAAGCAAAGAAACTGCACAACAGCTGCACCAATTGGGTATGTTCTGGGTATGAATCAACCTCCAACGAATTCCAAATCAACAACAAAAGCTCCCAGAATAATGGACGGGGAATCATGAAAATTATATGCACGAAGCAATCCCGATGTCAAACCATAACCCAGCATATAAGAATCAAAATGAAGAAGCATAACCGGCATGTAAAGCAGACGTTCATAAATCAAAACCAGAATAACAAAAAAGAGAAGAAAACGCTCAAGCATGAGTCGTCGACTTCTCACGGGCCTCCCGCTCGATCCTCTCCCGCTCCTCGTTTTGCTTCACCTCGCGGACCTTGGCGAGCACGACCTCCCGGAAAATGGACCCGCGCGCGATCTTGCTCAGACTCCGCTTCTTAGTGGTACCGGTGCCCTCGGGTGAGCCAGGAGACGATTTGCCATTAGGCGAAGTCGACGGGAAAGGCTCAGTCTCACCCTCACCCTCAGCGGTACCGGCAGAGGCCGCCATATCTGCGGGGCTGGGGATGTCTTCCCCGTCATCCTCCTGCATCTTGAGAGCCTCGATGCGGTTCGCGAGCTTGATGATCTCAATACCACGCCTGAGACGGGCCTTGGCGTTGTAGGCACGGATCTCAGGCAACAGGTCGCGGTCGCTGGCAGATTCACCCTTCAGCCATGAGTGCTTGAGAGCCTCTCCCGACGATACACGGTGTGCCGGGTCTGGCTGGAGGAGGGCGAGAATGAAGTTCTTGGCGTCTTGGGAGACATCGCGCCAGTAGCGGTCGTGGAAGATGATGCGACCACTGCGGGTTTCTTCGATCAGGTCGGACAGGTTCTCCGAGCGGAAAGGCGAGTAACCGCAGAGAAGAGTGTAGGTGATAACGCCCAGGGACCACATGTCGACGGCCTTGCCGTGGCCCTGCTTGAGCATAACTTCCGGCGCAGCGTATCCAAACGAACCAGCCATGCTGGTGAGGAGCTCGGTGGGGGTTTCCAACATTTTGGCGATACCAAAGTCTGCGAGGACGAGGGGAGAGTTGGGTGCAGGGGTGAGGTAAAGGAGGTTTTCGGGTTTCAAGTCTATAAAAAATAATTTGTCAGTCGCAATTGGGCGATGTAGGATAAACGGAACCAACCTCGGTGGACAATGTTGCGCTCGTGCAGATAGTTGACTGCATCGAGGACCTGGCGAATCGTCTGCGACGCATCCTTCTCTGTGAACTTGCCGTATTCGCAAATGCGGTCGAACAGCTCACCACCAGTGGCCAGCTGGGTAACGATGTAGAATTTGTCCTAGACCTTGGTTAGCCCGAGAATAGCCCACTATAGATCAGGACTCCCACCTTCGATTCGAACCAGTCGACAAAGTGGACAATGCTGGGATGGTGAAGGGCCTGGAGCATTTCCAGCTCATCGTAGACCATTTTCTCATTCCCACGGACATTCTTCTTCAGGATAATCTTGACGGCGACCTTTCCGGCGGCGGCGGACTCGGCCTCACGGACGATACCATATGTTCCTGCACCGAGGGTTCTTCCGAACCTGTACAGCGCTCTATATCGGTAACGGTAAGCAACGGTCGTAGAAGTGGGAGGGTGGATAGTGCGTACTTTTTCTCGTAACTCTCTGGTTGCCCCGAGAGCTTATTCAGCATATTAGAGACTGAAAAAGATGTTAGCATCCAGATCGTGGGACAAACCCGATAATGCGAAAAGCAGAAATCAAAACACAACGAGGAATCCACCGAGATTCAGACCATAAAACCACATAACAGCCATCGTCTCCAACAACCACACGGTATCGCTCCAAAGAGCCACGAGAAAGGTCGCCAACGACATGATTTTTAAAGTCGCGATGAGCTGGCTCAGCACAGGCAGCAGGAATTATGCAGGATTCCGGTCTCAGGAACAGCGTCAATCACACTGCCAACATGACAGACGGACATTGCACAATTGACCAAGAACACACACAGAAAAGGAAAGATGAAGGAAAGAAAGTATCCCACTCACAACTCATTTTGTCTAGACCAGGAACAGCCGCGCAGGGCTTGAATTGTAGTGTGCGGTGGGTTTTGGTGGTTGGCGCGGGAAACGAAGATGATGAGAACCCCGCACGTGAAAGTGATAGAGAGGGAAAAGGAATACGAGGAATTAGAATCGACGACGAAAGAGGGACGGAGGAGGGGAGAGAAGGAATGCGATCGAGAAAAGGATAGGGAGAGAGAGAGAGAGAGAAGATCGAGCTGAAGAGAAGGAATGGTTAGTGATTGTCGGGTAGAACAACGATCATTGCGGTTCAGGAGACCGAGGACCGGGCACAGAGTATGCACGAGTATGTACTCGTATGCAGAAGTATACACACCTGGTATTAGACAGACAGAGATTGGATTGAGGATAGTGTACAGAGTATTCGAAGAGAATTGAGACGAGAGATACTTGTACTTGTATATTTACGAGACAGCGAAGAATGACATGAGAAGGTCTGGCCGCCCGTGAGTCTAATTACACAGCCACACTTGATATTCAGCCTCCTACTACTAACCAATCTATTTGAACGAATACGTTGATTATACCTAGTGCACGAGGACAGGCATCCACAATCAGCCTTGTCATGTGTCTCTACTATGTATGTAATCTGTAAAGGCATGTGTAGTTCCATGTATGTATAGGTATGCAACACAGCCACGCATAGAGCCTCTTATCATGTGTGATTAAGGGTAAAAACGCGCTGGTCAAGGCTGACGATTTTCATAAACCAACATGAAACAGGTTAACAGACACTGTCATCTATCACACACTAACACTACAAACACACCAAGACTGTACAAAAGTAGGCCGAAAAGGGGACAGATAAAGTTAGCTGCAATGCAGCACCAAAATAGCACCGACAAATGACGAATAACCGCTCCTCCACCCACGGGTACCTCCAATCTCAACCATGGCTCTCGCCCAGATACAACTCATCCAAAACCCCATTACAGTACGCCTCGTACCACGCAACCCCTTTCCACCCCCGCCGCCCATTCCTAACCCCAACCGTCTTCCACCCCTCTGCCCGTAATCGCGCAATCCGCTCGGCTTTGCTTTCCTGCTGCTGCTGCTGCTGCTGCTCCTCCTCCGTCTCCTCCGTCCCGCCCCATTCAGGAGATTGTGACCCACTCACGCTAGCGCTAGCTCCGGCGCTAGGATTCCTACCGAGACAGCCGTTATCGTTAGTATCCTCGTCGGGCTGGACAGGGCTGAAACTCCAGAACGAGGCTACTCGCCGGAGGTTTCGGGTTCGGGATGCCTTGCGGGTGCGTTGGAGTGCGGTGACGGATGTGATGAGGGTGTGGATGGTTGTGATGTTGGTGGTGATTTGGGTGTGGAGGAAGTGGATGGTGTTGTTGTAGCGTGTGATTGCGTTGATATGTTCGTGTTCTTGGATTTCTGTGTGCTTTGCTCCAAATGGGACGATCTTGATAGGCAGCGGAGGCGGACGGTAAGATCTCTCTGCACAACTCCCTGCATCAGGCTTCCGGATCTGAAGCGGCAAAGGCATAAGCTTCCCCTTCGACTCTTCCCTTGGAAGCCTAAACAATCCAACATCAACATCCTGATCAAACTGCTCCTCATGCTCGTGCGAAATAAATGGATCATCCTCATCCCATGCCATAGAATCATCAATGATCCTCGTAAGACTACCCACAAGCCCTCCAACCGTCGACGGACTCTCCGCTTCCACATCTACCTCCGCTTCCGTCTCCACGAAGGAAGAATCAAGCGAGCCGCCCGGCGATAAATCGTCCACAAGCGACGTCTCACTCTCGTCTGCGTCTTCCACTCTCACGCCCCCGTCATAATCAGGAACTGAGATCGTCGACGGTAGAACCGCATTGCAGGTCGTGAAACAGTCTAGGGCAGAGTGGAGGAGGGAGAGCTTGTTGCTGGAGTATTTGTGCGCTGCGCGGCCCAGAGCTTCGTAGGAGATGGCACTGTAGAAGTAGAGGTAGGTTTTGTGGACTGCATGAATCTAATCTCGTCGGTTAAGGCTCATGAGCTAGCAAGTAGCGTTATTGGTACTTACTGGCTCTCTTGAGGTGCTAAGAAGAGTTTCTGCACGAGCAGCGCATTGCTTGTATTGGCGCTGAGTATAGAGGAACTTGATTTGATAGAGTGCAACTTTCCATTCCTCTGGTGTACGGGGCAGCGAGAACTTGTCGAAGGTCGAAGTAGAGAGCTTTCGTGAGCGTGTGGACGCCATCGTGTTATAAAAATGACATCTAAATGTTCAAGAACCGCATAACACAAATCAAAAGAGTGACATCGTATTAGACGAAAGAACGGAAAAATTATAAGACGAGAGACGTGTTATTGTGTACCAATCAACAACGCGTAGGTAGAAAGATACCGTGGCAACAGGAACACAACACCTACCAGTGAATGTTCGATGCAATTTCGATGCTTAACACTTTCTGTTTGCATGCTTTGGAAGTTGTCCAGAAGCCCTAAACACATATGAATTAAAAGTCCTTATGCCAATCGTCTACAGCTCTAGGGCTATTCTCATCCGTTCTTAATGTGGGATCACGACTCCACGGATGTCCCTAAATAAAAAACGTTTACTGTATTAGCCATTCGTACGTGCCGTTTAATCCAAACAAGGAACGTCACCCTGTTAAAGTAGTCGTGTATACGTCTTGACACCTTTGTCGTATTGACCATCTCAATTTGCATACTTCGGTGAAGAAGACAGAAATTTCGATTTGCATACTAGATATACTAGTTGAATACAAACATTAACTGAAAAGGCTGCACCTGTCATTCACTCGCCCAACCAAGCACGCTATAACCTATTCTTCCCTCTATCTCCAGGATGATTGACCCCAGATTCTTCTTCCAGACAATGCCTGCAGCATTTACTCACACCAGAGTGCTTTATGATACTCTATCTTAAAATTGCATATCCAGGATGGATCTACAGTCCCTTGAACAACAACCTCAATAATGAGGGAGAATACCCGAAACAAGCAAACTGGAATTCGATTCGGTACTCGAAAATTACACTCGAAGATTCAACGATGGACAAACCTCAGACGCAAAAATATGCTTGCAATAAGTTCCCAGATGCACCATTGGCGGCCCCAGAGACTTCCTTCTTTCTTTTGCTGCGAGATCGCGCCGAAGGCATAATTGAGCACCCACCTGAAATTCCGGTGGATGGCCCAAAGGTCTACCGACCAAGCTGAATCTCGTTACAAACAAGCTAGTAAGTGAAACACAACGCCAAACTTACGTCCCTAATGCTTCGAAGACGATCTGATAAAATGCTGTTGCCACATTGTTGTCAATGGCAAGAAATGTGTGGCATTCTCTGTGACTCCCAGAAAACTGTGTGTTGGATCTCCAACTACGGCTCATATAGGGCTAACCTTCATCTAGATTCTCCATCATATGCGTCTGAAGCGCATTAAAACGCTACTTATTTGACCGCGCAGTTCAAAACCACCCGACATTGAAACCAGGGAACACATCTACCCATGATTTGGCTCTCAAGTCTACTTTTCTGACATTACTGATCTCGATATGAAGGCCATTGTTCTCGAAGAAGAGTGAGGAGACGACTTTATAGCGGACCAGGCTACGGCTACGTTAGTTTCGGCCATGCTACTTGTCGTGCTGTATCAGCAGCTGCAAGCGACAGATAAAGTGGTGACGATAGTGGTTCTCGCTATGATAATGCATTACGGATGCCATGTGTTTTACTCATGCGCGCATGGGACATGGTCCCCCAATTGCCGGCATTACGATACTGATCCGATAGTAGGTGGTTTCAATATTCTCCGATAAGCAAGGTCTCAGATGGTTATCTAACTTTAACTTGTTGAACAGCCGAGCACATTGTGTGGAGCTGCAACATTGCGGCCAAGTCTCAACAATGTCCCACTTAATGAACAGAGTTTATCGACTAGAATGTTGACGAACCAACCATACAGTCAAACATGGCAGTGCGCATATAAACTTGGTCCAAGGCGCTTTGCAAACCTCAAACAAGGTGAGGACAAAACTTTAGGAGGTACGCGACTGGGGAAACACCAAAGTATGGACAAAGTTTTCTGTAAAGCATATTTGTGGCGCAGAGACTCTGATAAAGGCCAACATAGATGCGCAAATACAACCTAACGGTCCAGGAAAGCACAGTACTCATTAAGAAAATTTGATTGCCACTAATAGATACCTTCTGCTATGAATCTTCTATAGGATATGACAGCCAAAGAAAAGAAAGTACGGCATAGCCATGCAAAACGATTCTCGTCCAAAATGAATGGTAAAGCTGCCAGAATAATGGGCAGCAGAAGCTTCGACTTCCTAAGCGGACCTATGTGCGAATGGGTGGCTGATCCGTGAATTGCGCAAACAACCTCCAAGACATATTGCTCATCCTAGGTGGCCAGGAAGATATCGACGAGAGTTATGCTTGGGGCAAACAGGCTCCCGCTCATCTGAGGGAGAAGTTTGAGTGTAGTCGGATGGACAAGGTGTTGTTTTGCGGGGGCGTGGAGGTGAAGAGTTTGAGGAGGATTGGGGAGAAAGTGGAGGCTTGGGTTGAGTATCCAAAGTCGAGTGATGATGAAGATGAGGATGAGGATGAGGATACGGGGGAGAATGTTTGGGTTAGTGATCATTTGGGGTTGGAGGTGGTTTTTCGGTTGGTTTAAGAGGATATGGCTAAATGATTTGAATACCCTTGCTTAATTGAATTTGAATATAAACTAGTTCCTTATCGTATTACTAAATCCTGCTCTGTAAACACAATCCACAATCATAATCCATACAAATAACATGGGTAAAAAGCTCACTCCCCTTCAGACACCCCACCACCACCAACACCAACACCAACCTCCACCGTCTCCAATCCACGCCCACCACCAGAACCAGGCCTCGTCTTCCCCAACGCCTCCCCTGTCGCCGACAGCGCATCCAAAAAATCCACCAACAACCGATCCAACTCCCCCATCAAAACCCCCTCCTCGGCCCCCTGCGCCAAACTCTCCACACTCGGCGGAACAAGATCCGGAAACTGCACTCTATCCACACCCCCACTACCAGCATGACGATGTCGCACTGTAGCTGTAGGCAGTGCATCTGGGAGCGGTGAGTCGGGAACGTTGTCTGGGTATTCACGCGATGGGATCGCTGTCGGGAAGGGTTCGGAGAAGGGGTCGGAGGAGGGTTTTGAGGTGCGGTGTGTGCGCGTGTTGATTGAGGTATGTGAGGAGGGGGGGCCGATTGTGCGGGAGCCCCAGGTTGTTGTTATTGTGGAGGTTTCGGTTTCGTCTTCTTCGTCTGGGCCGGGGCCGTCGAGGTCGAGGATTGAGGAGGCTCGATCAGGGTGGTGGTGGTCGTCGTCGGGGCCGGGGCCTTCTTCTATGACTGACGATGGACGGTTGTGGTCATCCGGGCCGGGTCCTTCTTCGATTATTGAGGAGGGGCGGTCGTCTGGGCCAGGTCCTTCTTCTATGATTGAAGACGGACGGTTGTGGTCGTCAGGGCCTGGACCTCCTTCGATGACAGACGAGGGACGGCCGTAGGTGTCTTCATTTGCATCAATTATCTCGGGGAAGTCGGTGGCATCGAAGCTAGATGGACCATGGTGGTATTTTTGGTGCGGGTATTGGGAGGTAGGTGAGGTCGGTCTATCAAGACGGAAAGGGTCGTAGTCTGCCTCGGAGCTTGGAGCGAAGCTGAAAACAGAGCCTTGCGAGCCGGATGTTGACGGACGCGAGTCTCCTGGTTCCCCGATACTAATTGGTCTGATAGTCTCAGATGGTTCGGTGCCCGTGTCGACGAGAGGTGCTTTGAGGGTTTCGAAGCGGCCGGGGTCTACACTTGGATTGTCGTCTGCGGGTTGTGCGCCCATTGAAGGGAATGTCCATTCCATTGTTGCTCGTTTATCGGATGGATTTGTCGGCTCGGCTGGTTTTGCCTCGGGTGTTGTTTCTCCTTCTCCTTCTCCTTCTCCTTCCGGTTTTGATTCTGCTTCTTCCTCTGGAGCTTTCATGAAGACGGGAAATTTCCAGTCCATTGTTGGTGGGCGGGGTCCGGTTTGGGGTTGGAATGTCATGTCCTCGGAATCGCGTCTGCTGCTTGACGACCGGGAGCTGGTGCCGCTTGATGTGCGCTGTTGGCGGTATGCTTTGATTGTGTCTGCGTCTGCGAGTTGGATGGGTTGTGTGGTTGCTGCGGCTGCGGCGTAATGGGAAGAATCGAAGGATCCGATATCGATGTCGATGAATGTGGACATCACGGACGAGCGATCAGTGTCTGTACGCAGTGGAAGGTCTGAGGGCGGTCGTCTCTGTTCGACAGGGACAAAGTCGTTTTTCGTTTCGTATGTGTAAGTGGGTTTCTCGTTGTCGAAAAGACCTTCCATGGCCGTGGCGCCTCGACGGACACGTTCGTCAAAATTGGCCTTGTCGTCTCGAGACAAGTCTGTATCGCGCGGTTCATCGAGACTATCTTTCTTTGGCTGTACTGTGGTAGGGCTAATTTGATCTTCGACTTCTGCAAGCGATGCAGCAAGTTCATCGAGATCAATGACTGAAAACCGTCTCTCGAAGCCATCCGTCGTACTGAAATTCCAATCCTCTGCAAAAGTATCATCCACATCCGGGATCTCTGCAGCTGCTGCACCGCCCGGATGGAACAGCGAAATTCTTTGACCGCCGCGTTGTGACCACTGGTAGTAAATCCGCACTAGCTCGCCCAGAGATGACGTAGGGTGAGATTCTTCGGTATCCGCGATGAACGAGTGCGTCAAAGTATCTGCCATTGTAGGCCGAGTCCTAGGATCAGAGTCCAATGCGTAGTTGACAAGGTCCTTGAGTTCTTCACTGTATTCCTCTTTGTCAAGCCTTGGTTTTGTCCGGTTGAGTTGACGTCCTATTTGCATGCGTTCTCGGAGGTTCGAGTTTGGCGGGTTTCCTGTTGCAAATTCGAAGAGCGTGCAACCATATGCCCATACATCGACCTCACTGCTATATCGATGGGCTTCGGCCTTGGCTGAGAACATCTCCGGAGGCATCCAGTGAGGCGTGCCTATCCATGTAGACCGCTTATCCACCTGCGACTGTAGAATACCAGCAACACCAAAATCACAGATTTGCAGACGACCTTCTTCGTGGATCAAGATGTTGGCAGCCTTGATATCACGGTGGATGATGCCTGCGTCGTGAATAGCGCGAAGACCAATGGCCAATTCACGCGCCACGGGAATGATGAATTTTTCGTCAAGTCTATCACCAGTGGCTCTCATCTAGTCAAGTCAGTTTCACCATTGCTAACAATCCGAAAAGAAACAAAGGAACTTACCAAAGTCCTAACACTCCCACCCGGACAATACTCACAAACCAACCACAACTGCGAATGGATCGAAACCGCCTCAATCAACTCATTAATATTCCTCGCCCCCGAATCCTTCACCTGCTTCATAACCCTCGTCTCATGAATAAAGTCCTTAATCGACTCATCCCTAAAATCCCGAACGGTCTTGTAATCCAACGAATCAACATCCATCACCTTAACAGCGACAACTTTCTTGGAGGGAAGTTGGCGGCCCTTGTACACTCGTCCGTATGCTCCTTTGCCGATTAATTCTTCGAATTCGTAGGGTGGGTTTTCTGTCTTTGCTCGTCGACACATTTCTTGGACTGCTGTTCCTTGCTCGCGCGCTAGTTTTATTGCTTCGGCTTTGTGTTTTGTGATGGCCGCCACGGCGGACGTGGGGTCCAGGAAGGAAGCGCGATCAGCCATGTTGACGATTATAGTATCGAGAAACGAGATGCTAAGACTTCGGTAGAGAAGGATGAGGTGTCTAATCAGTTAGCTCAGAGCAAGGAAACCTGAGAAAATAGAATCCTAGGACACGGGTTAAATAGGAGACCAACCTCTCCGACGTATCTGAGCTTCAAGGCGGCGTTGAACGACCGTTTCAGATCGACGCTCCCTCCACCTCTTCAAAAGGCCCGAGGACGAATTCGCTTCACGTGTGCGACGACTGTTCCTTTTACGAAACAAGTTCCTAATAGCAGATCCAATACCAGAGCTGGTCGTTCTGCGTTTCCTGATCGCGCCCGCAAACAAGCTACGACCGCGTCGCTTGGGAACGGAGAAGTCTTGTAATCTGATGTAATCAGTGGCGTCGTCGGACGATGCCAGTTCAAAAGAGTGCACAGAAGGTCCAGGGGATCCTAAACGCAGTATATGCGGGCTGTAGTTAACAGACGAGCTATCGCGAGAGATGCGAAGGCCTTCAGAGGGACCTGGGGGGAAACGACTGTAGAATCGACCGTGGTTGTCAAGTCCCTGGTCCGACAAGCTTTCAATAGAGCTCTCCGCGAAAGGGTCAGCAGCTGTGACTTCGTAGATGAAAGCTCTGTATTCAAAGCTAGAGTTGAATCGAAGTCCTCGGCCGAATCTCCTTCGCGAGAAAGACGAGTGAGGGATCAACGCAGGTGAGCGATAATCAGAAGAATGATCAGTGACGAAAGACAATTCAGTACCCCTTTCTCATCAGTACTCGCTCAACATTCAGTCACTGGGGTACTCACTCGAGCGGGTTGGTAAACGAATCTTCCACAGGGGAAGGCTGCTCTTCAACACCACAGACAGCAGTTTGCTCAACGGCAGTCAGTGAATAGCTATCCTCGTCGATAACCGGATGCTCCCAGAATTGACGCTGGAAAAACTCGCTAGCCTCAAGATCTTCGTCGGTGCTTCCAGGCACAAAACCACTAGAAAGGATCTCGTCAAATTGCGTCCTACCACCACCAGTCAGCACACATCCATAAACAAAACAAAATAAAAGGAAAAGAAAGCAACCCGTAGACCGCTCTGCGACGCTCGTCTTCGTCGAAACAATCAGCCATCACAGCAAAAACGCGATAAACGAAATCTAGATGACCACCAGGACATAATGACAGAAAAGAGAAAAAAGAAAACACGCCTCGTGTGCGAAGAAAACAAAAACAAACGCACTTACGCGAGCAACTGCAGTTAAAGATATCAAGATCGATGGAGAGAAAGTTGAGAAATAGAGCTATGCTGGCGATGTCTCGCAACCCCAGAGCCGCAATAGCAAGTGATATCACCCCGAATCTTCAACAAGCGTTCAGCGAGCCCCTGGCGGAGCTATCGTGGATTTGAACTGATGGATTAATACCTCTGAGCAGGGGGAATAATCCGGCGCCATGGAATTCGCAAATACTCAAAGTCGCGGGTGCGTAAATTAGGCGCAAAGCAAAGGCCGAGTATCAGTCGCAATGCAGCAGGCGGACTTGGTGGACAGTGGGTGCATTTCAGAGGTGAAAAGTGGTGATTCTGGAATGGCGCTAAGGAGCGGACGCTAATTTAGCGTGAATGGATATCTAACACCCTGAGTGGCTGGTTTGCATGGGGCCTCACGTGAATGCTTCTTTGTTAGTCTCAAAGAGAGTAGTAGTGTAGACTGTCAATGTCGATTGCAATAGTCCCTTATTTTAAACGCAGTAATATAGCAATGGCAAAGATAGAAGGTAAAGTACGGGGTAGTGTTGATCCCAGCGATCACGTGGCACACGTGGCATCCACTAACGGCGGCGAGCATAGCCAGAAACAGAATAGCTTAATTGAAAAAGCAACGGGTGTCCAGAAAGCGTAAATATCATTTTCAGTCTATCTATGCAGATGAAGTAAATTGGATCGTGATTACTATATGCACATTGCTATGGCCATCGAATACCACATTATGCCAGACCAAACTGCACCTTCAACGCATCCCCAAACCGCTTAATCGCCTCCTCAATCTGATCCGCACTAGCCGCCGCAAAAGTAGCCCGGAAGAACATCTTCTCCTCCGGCGTGGTCTTGTCAGCCGTGAACCAGCTACCCCGCGAAACAAGCACGCCGTTCTGAATAGCGGCCTGGAAGATGTCCTCCTCGATCGCGTCGCGGGTCTTGCCGGATGCGAGACCGGGGTGTTTCTGCCAGTCGACTTCAATCCAGTGGAACATGCCTGCGGCGGGGGCAACCCAGTGGGCGATTTCTGTGGGGAGGGACTTTTCGCAGGCGCCGACGAGCATGTTGCGGCGGCTGGTGTATTGCATGCGCATGTTGATCAGCCAGTCCAGGTATCCGGCGTGGCCCCAGTGCTCATCCAGAAGTTTGAAGAGGACAATCTGTGCGATGCCGCTGGGGTGCTGAGAAGAGACCTCGCAGTTACGCATGAATCGCTCGATGATCTGCTCGCAGCCGACTGCCCAGCCAACTCGCGAGCCGGGGGTGACGACCTTGGAGAACGACTCGAGACGGAGGACACGTCCGTCCACGTCCATGCTCAGATACGACGGGATGAGCGACTTGATGAACTCGTCATGGCTGGCGGGCGGCGGGGGACTCGCGCCGTCGGCACCCGTGTAGGGCTGCATCTGCAGGAAGTAGTAGGGTTCGTCCTCGACGATGTAGACGTCGTGCTTCTGCGCGACCTTGTAGATGGCCCTGCGGCGTTCTCCGGACTGAGTAGCGCCAGTAGGGTTCTGGCCGGTGGCGATCGTGTAAAGCACGTAAGGCTTGCGGGCACCGCGGGCGGCTTCGTCCCAGTTGCTGAGGACTTCGTCCATAGATTCGGGGAGGAGACCTTGCTCGTCCATCTTGATGGAAGCAAGCTTCACGCCCAGAGGGAGGGCTGTCTCAGCGGCGCTGGAGAAAGTGTACTCTTCCATCAAGATGTAGTCTCCTCTCTCAGTGAGCAGACGGAGAGCCGTATCCCAGCCGTAAGTGCTACCAGCGTTGAGGCAGCAGTGCCAGTCCGCGTATGGGGGGTTGTGGATAATCTGCGCCATCAGCCCATGTCCATAGCAACGATTCCAACCAACTCACCTCGGTGTGTTCCGTCACAAACCGCAGCAATTGAGGAGCACCAGTAGCCTGTCCATAGTTCAGAGCAACCTCAAGGTCTACCCAACACCAATCAGCACCCACAGCCCACATTATACCCAAACAATCAGAAACCACGCACCATAAAGACTGTTCCCATTCTTTACATCTCCCTTCGACGCCGTCATAACAGTCCCCGACTCACGAGTCTCCTCCGGCGAGAACCCCGGCGGCGTGGGGAACTTGGCGCTGATTTGCTCGATAGGGAAGTATTCAGGCGAGGGCAATCCACCACCAAGAGAGATCAGACCAGGGTTCTTGAGATAATGCGCCGCTCCTTTCAATGTCGAGACCTATTCCAGAATATAACCCCGTTTAGTTTCCTAGCTCTGCGCATCGAGTATACAACGACGAACCTTGCGGGACTTGGCTTCGAGGGAGAGGATGTCTATACAACACAACGATTAGCATGTCTTTTGAGTCAACATCGGCCAGAGGGGAAGAACCCACGATCCCACCGCTTAGCCTTTGGCTTCGTATAGCAATGCTATAGACCAATCCACATTAGCTGTCTCTATCCTCACCCGAATCCATTCAACGCAGCATACCGCACTCTTAAACATATCACTGCTCGTAGCCGGCGCAACACCCAACGGCACAGGAGTGCCCTGGGCTCTCAGAGCCGCGACACCAGGGACGGACAATGGAGTCGAGTCGGTCATTTTGGCTGGTCAATTGAAATAACAGAAGAATTGGTATGGCAAGAGAATGAAACAAAGAAGGTAAACGACGATATCACAATTGGAGGGGCAGAACAGAAAAAAAAAGCTGCGCCGGCTTTTCCGCTCGGGGGATCGGGGCCGATGATTGGTCACGTAAGGAAGGAGTAAATAACGAGATATTGAGGAGATATTGTAGAAGCTATGCTAGTGGCTATACAGTGTACGCTTAATATAGCTGGAGAGTGGCTCAGGTGACTCACTGTCTTCTAGCTCGGATTGAAACATGGGTCTTGTCACTGCCAGGGCGTGGGATTTGATTCGATTCACTCTTGGAAGTTGATCCATTGAGGGGATGTTTAGCTTTGACACGAAGCATAACCGTTGGAGAATTGTGGTTTTCATTATTTCATATAAACTGCTATCTAGCGTCATTCGCCATAATACCCGACGGATTTGCAATGGAAATGCATCTCTAGTTACTGCATTGTATCCTGCACTGTGAGACATGCAACCCCGCATAGATAAGGCTATCGTCGGTCCGCTTATCAGCCGATAAGTCTCTCCGAATACGGAGCATGGATTGTCTCGCTATGCTATGGTCATGGATAAAATATCCGCTATTTCTCAACATACTTGCCCTCCGTGCCGTCAAGCTGCGCCTCCAAGACAGCCGTGATCCCGCTCTGCACACTCTTAATAGCCTCCGGCAACAACCGCCCGAGATCAGCAACAGTAGCAGCACGACCAGCCCAAATATCTCCACCAGAAGCAGCCCGTGCGATACCTGCGTAGTCGGGCGTCGGAGCAAATGAGATATTCAGCTCCTCGTTGGTAGCGCGCGAGCCATCGCCCTCGGGGTGGACTAGCAGCATACTTCTCCGAGGAGCGTTCCAGCCCTTGTTGTTCAGGACGATGGTCAGGATGGGGATGTTGTAGCGGCGGGAGATCCAGTAGACGGACCCGGGGACGGAGAAGAGGAAGGTTCCGTCACCAACAATCTGGCAGACAAATTTACCTTTGTTTGTGCCGCCGTTTTCTAGATCTGTTGCGAGTTTGATCCCCAGCGCACCACCGCCGGACCAACCAAGACCTCCACCACCGCAGTTGAGCCAGGATTTGGGGAGTGTAGCGGCGATTTGGTCAGAGACAAATCCGCTCAGAGTCACTGCTTCAATGGCCCAGATGGTGTCGATTGGGCATCCGGATCGAACTTGGGACATGAGATAGGACACATTCAGCGGGGCACCATCTCCGCCATCAGGCACGAAGGCCAGCTGCGCGACGCTTTGACGGGTCTTCTGGAATACCTCTTCTCGGCTCTTGCCAAACTCAGTGTTCTCTGAAGAGCTGGCGAATTGTTTCAGGGAGTCATTGGACGCGACGTATTCATTGATTTGCTTGAATGCAGTGGCCGACTCCGCGCGGAATGTAGCCATAGATGGGAGGTAGAAAACAGGGATTTGCTGCTTCAGTGGGTCAACGTCGACATGGATAATCTTGGCCGAGTCCAACGGCTTGCATTGAGTTGGGATCCAAGGGACATCACAATCCGCGACCAAGATAAAATCCGCCGTTTTTATAGCATCGTGGATACCGTAGCGTAATCCCAATGACGCAGGATGGTCCCCGGGGAAGCACATGTCACAACCACCTGTATCAAGGACACGCAGACCCTTGAAAGTGTCTGCCAGCTTGACCAATTCAGTCACACCCCTGGCATGTCGACCCGAATAGCCGACAATAGCCAGTGGCTCTTTAGCGGCCGCCAGCTCGGATGCGATAAGTTGCACGCCTTCAGCTGGTAAAGCAGAAGGAGCCACAGAGCCCCAAACGCCCTGATTGAGCTGATACGGCACAATCTCCTCCTCCATCACCTCACGCGCACCAACCAAGTATACCGGGCCCATTGGATCACTCGTCGCGAATTGCAGCGCCCGGTTAACCATCTGCTTAATATTCTTCCCTGACTTGATTTCCCCAGCATAACGGCAGTACTGCGACAGAATTTGCTTCTGATCAGGAACATCTTGGATCCAATGGATATATTCGGTGCGGGAACCGCGCATCTCCCCCTCAATCGTGAACGGCGAGAGCCCCGCAAAGATCAACACTGGTGTCCGGCCACACGAGGCATTGTGAACTGCTGCTGCTAATCCCTGTGTTCCGACATCGACGTGAACAATAACACATTGCGGTTTTCCGGTCAAGCGAGCGTAGCCGTCGGCCATGGAGAGGGCGACCATCTGTAGGGTGGGGTAATGCGGGGTTAGCCAGCTTGAAAAGGAACGGAGATATCTCAACGCTGATATACAGAGGGGACAGTGTTTGGGATTTACCTCGTTAGGACAGGTGATAATCTTGGGGAATGCGTCCCTCTTTTCTTTCTGGCCCTTGACCATGGCCTCGAGGATGGAGGGGTGGTCCGATCCTAGGTTGACGAAGACATGACTGACTCCGGCCTGACTGGTCAGTATATTTATGGCAAGATTTCTAGAGGTATGGTATAATGGGACTCCATTACCTCCCAGAGGGCCTCGAAGAACGCAAACGAAGCAGTATAAACCCTGTGAGGTGCATTCCGTCAGTTGTCTAACAGCACCGCGAACCCGGGGGATGTGCGTACATCTTGACCACTACCCGCGATCAAGCAGCGATTGTATAGCAGGATAATAATTTTGGAAAATAAGAAGAAGAAACAAAGTCCGAATGCCAATTGTTGTATTGATATACCCCGAAACTCGGCATTATGTCCGATAACAGGCGGGGTTCCCCACAGCTGCATTATTAACTAGGTCCTCCTTAGTTAGTACAACCATGCTTTAACTTCTATCTATACTTGCAACGACAATGTTTGTACAGAATGGGTGGCAGGATTGTGCAAAGTCTGCATATAACTATGGGTGGTTGAGCAGCTCTGCAGTTCTCACTATGCTTTGTTCCTGGAGATGTAAAACCCACTCGGCAACATCTCTTGTCTTTCGGGTATATCAGGTACGAACATTTGTATGGACATGGTGCTAAAGCGATATTGGCTATGGGGCGAAATGAGAAAGATATCTGAGAGATGATCGAAGAAGAATCATTATATTGATGTAATCGTGAAAAACGCCAGATTCTTCACCTTACAATATGCAGAAAGTCTAGCGCCCCAAAGCAGAGGATCCTGAGCTATTTAAGTCTCAAGAAGAGATTACTATCACATGCGGAACAACCCGGGCAGTAGCCCACTCACAGTGGCAACTAACCCCGAGCCAACCACTTATAACTAGGCTGTTCCACTGGCATTTCATCTCCGAATTCTGCTCTTACAGTACTGGTCATAACTCTCCTTCCTTTGCATTATTAGAGCAAATTTCCGTCTTCATCAAAGCCCTGTTAAACGGCGCCACCTTCGAGCACACCAGAACAGGAATCCCATCTGTGTACTACGTAGGTTACTACAAACTCCTAACTCCTATACTCTGTACTCGTCCGCAAAAGCTGACTATTAAAGTGCACGCATGCAACGATATTATCCTTGACGCCATGATCATCACCCGAGGAATATCCCTGACCAACTTCGCCGTGGCCTCGTCTGCCCTGGCGTTCCAAGTCTTTGTTCTCTATCCGTGGCACAAACAGTTGGACGATGATTTCGAGGCGTTGAAGAAGGAGCATCTCCGGCTTCTGCACAAGATTGATACAGCCGGGTTTGGGCAGCCCAAGGGAATTCAGGAATAAGCGGTTAACCAGAGGCGGAGGTTTATAGCTAATAGAAGGAGTACATATAGGATAGAGCGTGCATCAACTGTTTTACTTATGGTGGCAAGGTCTCTAGAAGTGTACTTCGTTTCAACTTGACATTGGCGTTTTGGAAGAACTTCCAGATTACTTCGATTGTTCGTTTGTCATTCCTCATCGACGGGCGATGCTAAGGCCTCATCCTCTACACTACCTAGACCGGATGTTTCGGCATGTAGCCACTTGGACAACGGAATATACCGGTGTAGATCTGTTGCGAAAGGGTGTTACTACGTACTAGCTTTTCACCAATGTACTCAGGATGGTCCGGAATATTCAAACACTCTCTGAAGCATCCTTGGTAACCAAAGACCCATTACCTACCAATCAATACTTGTACTCGCTTGCGGAATATCCCGTACACGAGTCAAAATGCAACCTGACACCCAAATAGGGGTGCACGAACCGTTGATCGGGGGAGTATTATGTATGTTCCAGGTTGTTGATAGGCCATTAAGTATCCCCACTCAACTAGCCCATACATATTTCGGAGCCGAAGAGCTTAAGTCTACACGGCCGAGTCGGCCCCGAGACTCCAAACCTTTCCGTCGATCGATTCGGAGCCGAAGAGTTTAATTCGAGTCATACATAGTAGTACTACTAAGTACATAGCTAGAATAATGCACCGCTTTATCACTTTATCTGTCAGAGCTTTGTAATATCGTCCTCCATTAACTAACTATCTGTTTCTGAACCGCTTGCTTCCTGTGCTCCTTTTCCATCCCCGCTGGCAACTCTCCAAACCTCGAGCAAGAATGAATACGGTATGTACTTTTCTACATATTTTCACATTCACATTCACATTCCTTTGCTTCTCCTGGTAATCCAAAGGTCGCTAATCCAGACCGCAGATACGATCAACATGGTAAGCGTGAAAAGAGCCGACTCAAAGAAAAGAAGACTAACCAACAGATGAAACAGGTTAGGCTGGGGAGTCCTTTGCATTGGTAAAATATCACTGACTTATCCATGCTACTATCACATAAGCTAACAGTTTAATCTTCTTAGCTGGTGGCGGCGCATACATTGGGGCGAGAAAATCCATCGATGCCGACCGGGTTTCTAAACATGACGCTTTGATGAAACACAAAGCTCAAATGGCTGCTATGGCGAACGCCCACGATTCCGGCTCGTCGAACTCGCAGAAAACTAGTACGAATGGCGCTGAGAATGCGATTGAATCACCAATACGGAATCGAGATCAAGTGCGACGAGATAACCCAGTTCGTGAAAATAAATCTGGGGTATGACCTGGAGCATCTACGAGAGAACCGACGAATCTATCCTGGTATAGCCACAGGGGTTCTCGTAAGGACCTAAATGTGACCTCCAGAGACATGTCCCAATGTGAAGGAGTCGAACAGGCGTCCGACGAAATGCCACCACCCTTTATGTTGCGGGTGTGCAGATATGATTAAGAACATTCAATTCCGCTGCATTTTGAGCCTCATGATGGAGGTTAGCGTTCATCTTGACAGCAAACGTATTTCTCGTCTAACCAGCGTCACCTATCGTACAGTCAGTGCCATGATCAAGTTCCGTAGCAAGCCGGTACCGTCCATTGATCGCCCAGACAAGCGGGATAGAAGTGGGAGATAATACTTGTTGATATCAGGACGAGGGGTGACAGCAGTTGATGGCCAGAGCCGGTGCCTTAGTGGTTTGAGGTATCGGAGAGCAGCCATTGAAGAAGTTACAAGTCGATTAGTTGGTTTGGGGATAATGACTATTGCGGTCTACAGAAAGGCGGTGATGATCTCTGCAACGAATATGTTTTTTATTCTAATACCCTACTTCTCTTATCTGGAATAATACGCGACTAAGATATCCTTCGCAACGCTTTATCTACAAAGAGATCTAGCGTCTCCCCGTAAAGATCCAGAGAGTCCAAATACGGCGTGAAAAGGGGTATCAGAACATACAAGCTACATCTCAAGGAGATTCTGACAATTTGTAAGAATCCTAAAAGCAGAGTTACGGCTTCGCGGCCCGATCAAAACCCGTATTCTCGCTGAGATGTTGAGCAGGAGGATGATCCTGTGGTCGGCCGTTGCCAGATTCCGGATTTTACAAATATCAAAGCTCACTCCATAGGTTGACTGGAAAGCTTTCTTCCACTTCTCAACTGTGCGGCCATTTTCTGACCAGCGGGTTATTAGAGCGAGATCCGCGAAGACATCGATCTCGTATGCTTCGGTGTTTTGGTAATCTCTCGGGTCGACCCCTGTACACCACTCGTTGAGGGCAAAGACCCTATCTAGCTTGATCGGGGTTGTCATTTTCTGTCTGGCTTTGATAACTCATTAGGTATTGCTATTTATTATTGACGAATGAGTCAGGTTGAATGGATGATACTAGACTTACGTTAACTAACTATGGTGTTTAGCATAGCCCTTTTTCTGAGGTAGCGACACAAGTACAGGTGGGATGTGAATGGTGCACAAAGTTATGCAGTGCACAATGACATCAGCCCCGTAGGGCTGAGGATAACCGGAAATGGACTTCCTCAAACAACACAAAAACCCACTCTTGTCATAATCCTTCTAGGCAGAAAGAATACGAGATGATGATCAACTGGAGACTTATATCTCTAGTCAGACTCAATTCCCACTCAGATCTACTCAGATTCTCACCGATATCCATACACAGCCCATACGTCATCCCTCGGCATGCCGGCCATAATACAGGACTCCAACAAGCCGGACTACACGGCTATGAAGGCTTAACTACCGGGTAATTAGCTTACTAAACTGCTTGGGAAAGGTGGTTGAGAAAATAGCAGCTGATGCAATTTCCCACCACTGTGAGACTATGGGAGTACTACACCCAGGACAGATGGGCAGCCGCAAACAACGGAGTGCAATTGACGCGGTGGCATGTTTGATACAAAACACCCATAAAGCCTGGAAGCTCCAGCAACTTGTGGGAGCACTGTTGCTGGATGTGAAAGGAGCATTTGATCATGTCAATCCAAACCGACTAATGAGCCGGCTGATCGAACTCGGTCTAGATGGGGATCTGATCCGATGGGTGCAATCTTTCCTAACTGACCGATGGGTTCAACTGCAAATCGACAACACACAGTGTCCAGCACATCCAATCAACTCAGGGGTGCCACAGGGCTCACCAGTATCACCCATTCTGTTCACCATCTACCTCAGTGGTGTGTTTGATGTGATTGAGAGGAGAGTGACCGGCGTCCGGTCTCTCTCTTTTGCAGATGATATAGGCCTGATCGCTCCAGGATATTCTGTTAGAGAGGTCTGCGACAAACTGCAGGAGGCAGCCAAGGTGGCCATTGAATGGGGCAATGACAATGTGGTCCAGTTTGACGCGGGGAAAACAGAAGCAGTCCTGCTTACCCGCAAGCGCGGCCGGGAGCTGAAAGATCAGATTAGACGAGCACATTGGAAGTAGACGGCCACTGTGTGCCCTTCAACCCAGAGGCAACCCGATGGCTTGGTGTCTGGCTTGACTCTGGGCTAAATCTCAAGGCCCACTATCAGACCTGTATACGCAAGGCACGGGCCGCAGAAAACCGGGTACAACGCCTATGCCAGAGTCACGGACTCGCCCCAGGACTGGCCCGCCAAATTCAAGTTGCGGCGGTACAGTCAGTAGCCCTGTATGGAGCAGAGCTCTGGTGGCAGGGTCAGAAAGATCGGCTAGCAGGTATACAGCTGATGATCAATCAACAAGCCCGTGATATTACCGGCATGCTGAAAATCACCCCTACAGGGCCACTGGTTCGTGAGGCAAGCCTGGCACCGGCAGAAGTCCTACTGGAGGCCCGACAGTTGCGATATACTACCCGGCTGCTCAGCCTACCAAAAGGTCACCCAGCAAAGAAGATCCTCCCAGTGAGCTTCTGAGAAGGGGATCAATACGTTCAGCCTGGGGAGCAGACTCCAGGGAACCGACAATGGCCTGAGAGAAGCGACCGAGGCCCATGGTCCCTGGGACAACACCTCGCTCGACAATTAGCCAATATCCTACCAGCAGACCCATCCGAGGGTTTTGAAAGCACGATACGGACAACGAGTGGCCAGTTCCCAGGCTGAATAGAAGTGCTACCGGGTCAGGAAGCCCTAGCAGCGGCGCAATCTCTTTCTCCTGGACTAGCAATCTGGTCAGATGGGTCAAGATTAGAGAATGGCAGGTGCGGAACGGGACTTGCATGGCAAGAACCAGGAGGAGCCTGGAAGACCAAGGGGACCCCATTGGGCAAGGGATATGAGGTCTTTGATGCAGAGCTTCTTGGGGTTGTTCAAGCACTCCAGTTGGCAAGGAAAGCAGGAGATCAGGGACCAGTCACTGTCCTGCTGGACTCCCAAGCCGCCATTGCGAGGCTGCGACATACCCAGCCAGGGCCAGGTCAAGCATTAGCAATCCGAGCACATGCTATAGCCACGAGATTACACACCCAAGGTCGCCAACCCACTATCCAATGGGTTCCGGGGCACGCAGGGGTAGAAGGAAATGAGAGAGCTGACCAGGCAGCCAAGCAGGCAGCCAGTAAGCCTCCAGGAAGAGGCCCAAAAGAGATCTCTTTGGCCTTTGCCTGTAGAGCCCGAACAGAAGCCGTTTCAGCACAGAAGCAGAGATGGCTCACTAAGAAGCTCAGTCAGCGATCCCAACAAGGCCAACGGATATACAGACCGCAGAAGAACTGGCAGCTTGACCAAACAGCTGCAGTAGCTCCCAAGCACCTGGCAAGCCGCTATTTTCAACTGAAGTCAGGACACGCAGCCATTGGAATGTATTTACATCAGATTCATGCTCGGGAAGATGCAATCTGTCAGGGATGTGGTTCTCCAAGGGAGACAATACACCATCTTCTCTTTGAATGCCGGAAATGGCGACACCAACGAAACAAGCTCTACAGGGATCTGGGGGTGGATGGGGTTATGAGACCCACTGCTGCAGAGGAACACCGGCAAGGACGACTTTTAGGAGAGCCCAGAGCTACCAGGGCGGTGCTACAATTCCTAGCCAGTACCAGTGTAGCTCTACCGCGAACACACCTGCGAACGGCGGAAAGGGCCCAAAGAGATGACGAATGGGGGCTAGAAGCATTGGAGGAGGCAATTAGAACAGGAGAAGGGTAGCAGGAAGGGTAGCCTAAGCTGAGAGTCAGCCTAGGCCACACCCGTCCTGCTCCGAAACACAATGAGAGCACTGTGCTCGAAATCCCTGCGCATACAGGCGGTCTGGGGCGAGGAAAAGGATTAGAGCGATTATAGAAGAGGGGGCTACCTCAGGAACTCATAGGGACAAGAGGTTGAAAGTTAGCTATAGCCTCGAGTTCATGGAATACGGTCTGTCATAGCTTTAGGGCTCGATATGGACAATAAACTTGATTAAATAAATAAATAAATACGTCGATCGGAGGATCGCTTTGCTTCAGAGTAATAATATTCAGGACAACGATAACCTCGAGATGATGGTCCGTGTCGAAGGGCCAATCGTCGATTCACTCTACGATAGCGCGTTGGTGTCATGGAGTCGGTTATTGGGAGAGCCTCTTCCACTGCTCACATCACCTGCCAGCTCGACACCGGCTTGGGAGTGGCCAGCAAGCGAGCCTGATACCTCTTCAGACGCTAGTGGAGCAGAGACTTCACCACAGCTCACTGCAGATCATCCTCATTATGATGTCGACATGCAACAAGAGACGCAGAGAGTCAATGGAAGCCTTGAGCCTTTACCTGGAATGTCACGGACTGAAGCAGTAACTCGTCATCTCAGTACGTCAACAGCCTATTTATTACCAACTAGAAAGCACATCTGACCTAGACAGACACCACGCTCCAGCCTGGAACTACAGGAGATGCCCCGAACAGCGATCAAGATCTCCGGATGAAGCCCTACGTCCTGTCTCCGCCGCACGAACCATTCCCGATGGCACTTGTCAATCGAGAGCCATGGGGATGTAAGTAGAGTCTATACCCCATGCTTAGAATAAGACTAACAGCGGTCCAGCTCCTAACCACAGCAGCATCTATACCCCCCAGAATTCGGCCTTCCTCTCCGCCATCAAACACGCAAAGCATTCCATATTCATTCAGACACCGAACATGAACGCAGAGCCGATCCTCGAGCCTCTTCTGGATGCAGTCCGCCGTGGCGTCGTCGTAACTTGCTACCTCTTTCTGGGATACAATGATGCAGGACAACTTCTTCCTTTCCAGAATGGAACAAACGAGATGATTGCAAACCGGTTATACAAGTCTCTCCGTACCGATGAAGAGCGATCCAGATTACGGATATTCAACTACATTGGTAAAGATCAGACGAAACCAATCCATAATTGCTTTGAGCGTCGAAGTTGTCATATCAAACTCATGATAATTGATGAGAGCGTGGCCATCCAGGGTACGCATGTTCCCCGTCTATCATGATAATAATACAGCGCTAACGAGACACAGGAAACGGCAATCTCGACACCCAATCCTTCTACCACAGCCAAGAAATCAACCTACTCTATGATTCACCTACAATTTGCCGCTCATGGCTCGATACCATCAACAGAAACCAGAACACTTCTTTATATGGCGCAGTGAGTAGCGAAGACGGATGCTGGCATGATCCTGAGACCGGGAAGCTTCCTAAGGGATCTATTGGAATCAACCCTGGAAGATTCAGCTGGGCCAAAGGGATTGTTGGGGCAGTGCAGAGAGTCAGGGGCGCTGGTGGATTTTGATTGACGTACGGAGATTTATTTGCTTTATCTATATACAGCGTATGATATCCTGAATATAATGATTAACGGTATTTTAGAGTACTGGGTTGCAATCGGTATAGTACCGAGTTAGACATGTGTGACCACCTCGGACACATTCATACGCTTCTTTTACCCAACACAGTAAGAATATAAACCGAACCCAATTCAACCAGTACCCCCAATCCAAGCAGAAAATCAGCACAATGACCAACTACGACCAACCCATAATCGACATAACAAACTACATCTACAACCACCCCCTCGACCCCTCCACCCCCACCACCAAATCCGCCCTCTCTGCAGCCCGAACCTCCCTCCTCGACGCCCTAGGCTGCGCCATCCAAACCGTCTCCAGCAGTGCAGAGGCCCGCAACCTCATTGGTCCTGTGGTGCAGGGAACGCATGTGCCGGATGGATTCAGATTACCCGGGACGAGGTATCGACTAGATCCGGTGAAGGGGGCGTTTGATATGGGTGTGTTGATTAGGTATTTGGATTTTAATGATGCGATGTGGGGGAAGGAGTGGGGTCATCCTTCTGGTATTTTCCTACCCCTGTACTTGGATTGCGCTTAGTGCTCATAGTGGCTGATGATTATGGCAGATAACATCGCCGCCATCCTATCCGTCTCAGACTGGCTCTCCCGAACCACCAAAACCAACAAACACACCGGCCCCCCGCTAACCCTCCAAACCCTATTAATTGCCATAACAAAAGCCTACGAAATCCAAGGCATCCACCAACTCCACAACGCCTTCAACGCCCACGGCATCGACCACGTCATCCTCGTCAAACTCGCCTCCGCCGCTATATGTGCATGGCTCCTCGGCCTCTCGCAGACACAAGCAATGGCTACAATCTCGCATGTCTGGATGGACGGGCATCCGAGTCGTGTTTATCGGTCTGGCAGTAATACGATACCGCGGAAGGGCTGGGCGGCGGGTGATGCGTGCATGAGGGCTGTGCATCTTGCGTTGCTGGTTAGGGCGGGACAGGTTGGTGCGGGTGGTGCGTTGAGTGCGGTTCCGTATGGGTTTTTGGAGAGGACGTTTGGTAAACAGGGGTTTGTGATGGAGAGGTTTGGGGAGTGGGCGGTGCAGAATGTGTTGTTTAAGGTTATGCCTGTTGAAGGGCATGGGATTGCGGGGGTGGAGGCGGCGCTGGTGCAGGGTTCACGGACTAGGGAGAGGGGATTGAGTGTTGAGGAGGATATTGTGAGGATTGAGGTGCGTGCTACTGCTGCGGCGGATGTGATTATCAATAAGAAAGGTGTGTTGAGAAATGCGGCGGATCGGGATCATTGTATTCAGTATGTTATTGCTGTTGCGTTGTTGAAGGGCAGCGCGCCGGAGGTGGGAGATTATGCAGATGGGAGTTATTGGGCGACAAGTGCGGTGGTTGATTCTTTGCGCGAGAGGATTGAGGTTAGGGTGGATGAGGGGCTTACGAGGGATTATCTGGATTTGGAGAAGAGGAGTATTGGGGCTGGGGTGACTGTGTATTTGAGAGATGGGAGTGTGCTGGATGAAGTGTTGCTGGAGTATCCGATTGGGCATGTGAGGAATCCGGCGACGGGGGATGCTGTGAGGGAGAAGTTTGGGAGGAATATGAGGGGTGTGTTTTCGGATGATGAGATTGAGGGGATTCTTGAGGCTGTCAAGATGGATAATTTGAGGATTTCAGATTTTCTTGATTTGTTTGCAAGAGACGCGCCGGAGTCGAGGTTGTAGGCTGGCCATAAGAAGTTCAAAACAATGAGAAAGTCATATCCAGCCCGCCAGCAGACTATGTCATATTGCCTGTTATGTGGTATATCCAAGATTAAAACACTATGAAAATCAGCAACGCCATAATAACATGGTCAACCCATCTTTCCAACGCCTTGCAAGGTCAAGTAAACATCAGTTCCCCATCCCCAGAGACTTTGGATAGCAATGCTACCTCCAAAGTACTCTGCATATGCTCTGCTCAAAGGCAAACCATACCCCAGTCCGGCAATGCTGCTCAGCTGTCCGCTGCTGGCAGAAATGGTGTTGAGTGCATCAACATTTCCATTTTCTGAGCCTTGGGGATCAAGATCGGAGAAAGTGGTGAAACTGTAGGACCAGATGTTTGGCAAAACTTCCGGGGGAATTCCACCACCGCGATCACGGATTCTGATCGTGATGCTCTGCGAGGAAGGGCTGGAGTGACGGACTGATTCGTTGGCATCCGCTGTGCCAACGACCGTATCGACCTTAAATCCCACGTCGGTGTCGTTCTGAGACTCGCGCGGTTCTTGGGTATGTTTATCATAGGCTTCGTGAACGTGATTTCCAGGGACATCCGGCGCAGGCGCAATAGTCACCTCAATAGGTGCGTGTTCTTGGCCATTCTCGATCACAGCTCTAAACGAATTCTTTAACAGTTCCGTTATGATGTATTCCATATGCACGGGAACATATGCAAACGAAGCGTCCGGCTGTCCCCCGATCACCACTTCCGGGCGTACGCCATATTTCAACTCGCATATCTCGCCCACAAAATCCTCACAGTATTTGATGATACGCGCCGGCTGCAATGTCGAATCAATCACCCCGACGTAGTTGGAAGGAACCGAATCTTTCGGTGCTGGGCTGCTATCTTTGGCTGGCTGCGAGGCGAAATTGAAAGCCAGGTGCTGCTCCGCAATCAACCGAGTGCCGATCCGTGCGCGTAGATGAGTATCCAAAAACCGCGTCACCTCTGCTGGATCGATATATTTTCTGCATTCGAGGAATCCGCGCGCGAGGATCGGGATTGTATTCGTATGTGTATGTACGAGGTCTGCCAGCACGTCCGCAAATTGTTTCTCTTCTTCTAGAGTCGTAATTTGCCGCTGCTGGTACGGAAGGAGGGTCGACAGCGAATGGAGGTAATTGTTGTAAATATTCGACACATGGGGATTCGACACAACGATAAAGGGTAAATTGCGCAGGGCCTGGATTCGGGATGCTAATCGAGCAGGGAGGAGGGAAAGGGTGAAGTTTGCCGAACTGAGAAGCGCATCTTCTGACAACGGCGGGCGCCCATGTCTGAACAGTCAGCAAGTCATACAGAATCACAACTTTTTATCACTCACTTGAGAAGGTCTGCAAGCGTCAATGGCCGGCGCCTAGTGGCCGCAAGACGGGCGACCTCATCGTTGGCTCCGCTGGCGAACGATGGAAACGAATATGCGGTGTCTTTGGTTGCGGATGTGTAGTTGCGTGTTTGAATAACGGGCCTAAAGCATTGCTGTCTGTTCCTGAGCAATACTTGTAGTCGTCGCACGGCGGCCATCACCATCAGCTGCTGCGATGAAGATGTTGACCATCTTGGATGACCTCAGAACGTGGGGATGCGCTAACCGGATAGGGATGTATCACGTGTGAACTGCCACTTTCCTTTTCTAGTTTACTTCTTCCACCTCCTTCTCTTCTTCTCTTTCATTCACCCAATTGCCTTCAAACCTCGAATACCATGAATACACTATCAGACTGCCAATTGGATTATGTCCGCACCGAAACGACAAGGTGTTTCTGTTGATATAAATTCTTTTGCGAATTAAACTGGATTCCGGTCCGACTTATAATACAGCTGTCTTTAACGACTCAAAGATCAAGACTAACAAGCTTCCCACATCTCAAAATCGTGTTTTCAATGTCAGCTCCCACCGAAAGCCATCCTCTCCTTAAGGATTCATACCGACCATTATCATCAGTTGGCATCATAGTTCACTGCTATGATAACCCAAGCTCGGTCCTGCCGTACCCAGTCAGCTACTGCCACGATCTGTCAGGGCGAGACTATGCCAGAAGTGTTTAGCCCCCGGGCTACTCGGTGATTTCGACCTGGGCCTCGTATGACAGGGTCCTCGCGGAAGCGCCACTTTATGCCGTCGCACCGAATGCTCAGACTGATAATTGACACGACATCGAAAGAACAAAGATTACTCGTGCGTACAATTTGAATGACTGGGGCAAACTTACTCAACCAAGACAGCTGAAAATCTCGCGGAATACCATTGCCCACGGGAGTAATGTCGTTGCAGATGTTTCATCGCTGAGATCGTATTCAGACCAAGGGGAAGACGTTGAGAAATGGGCCGCCATTTTCAAGAATGCATACGGTCTCCGGTGGACGACCTGTGAAGCCCGTGACATATTAAGGCTGACCGCCGGATGGTCAACACGTTCAATATTATGGCCAATGTCCGTGTGTTGTCCTATTGGGATTATCCCAGAAAGCAGGCCAGGGTTGATAGGATCAGGTCTCTAAGTCGGCGGATTATCAACACGTGGCTATGCCACCAAAACGTGTTGTTTGCCACGGGATCGGACTCATTGGGCATGTACCACGAGGTCGTCTCCCTTTATGGGAACACTGTGGTAGCTGTACATGGCTAAGAAGATAGGGATCCTGGCGATCAGAACCATTGCAACCTGGTTGTACCACCAGAGCTGCTCATCGAGCCTGATTCTGAGCAGTATGGCCTTGCTATAAGTTGGTTTAGCTCTACTTGGTTCGAATTTTATATATTATAGAGTAGTGGTGGGGAGATAGAATTATCAATCACTGTCAGTCATATTATAACAATGCAGTCAAAAGTCCCAAAAGCCCCCCAGCAAGCGGAAACAGCCCCCGAATAGCATTAGTAACCTGCCAATGCCTCAACACTTCATCAAACTCCTCATCACTAACTTCCTTCCCCTCCAGCCCCTGCGCAATCTCCATAAGCTTATAATTCGTCGGCATCATAAACCCCAACGTCCACGGCACAATCCCCACCGTCAAGAACCCCGCAAGCCGATAAGAAAGTCCCGTGTTCGCCCCGGCAAGCCGAGAAAATAACTCGCTCCGTGAACCAACAGCCCAGCCTAGATACGCATACGCACATGCAGTAGCAGCAGCAATGGGCGGGTTCTGCGCGTGTCCGTGGTCGTAGAAGGACTCCCACTGCCGCGCTAGCTTGGTCTGCGGGATATTATCTTTCTCCCCGCGCTCTCGTCTGGAGCGGAAGAATACGGGCATGGCGATGGCTGAGAGACCACAGATATTTCCTAAGACATGCGTCAGCCATCATCTCATCTTGTATCGTAACCGGCTGATTGCAGGTTGCAGTCAGAATAAGCCTTGACATGACATACCGGAAAGCCAAATGGACCCACTGATGCCGACGGCTTGCGCCACGCGCAGCGCTGTCGGATACTCGCTCATGGTTGTGGTTTGCTATAGGCTAGATGCAGAACAAAGCAAGTGTTTGCTTTTTGTTCTTGAGGGGGTGAGATTTCTGTAATTGGTTCGGTGGTGCAGGGGTTGATATAGAATTGCTGGTTACATATATATGTTGCATGCGGCGGCGGGGATTTGGGTGCCCGATGTTCCGTAGGGCGGAGTAGTTGGGGGCCGATGCCGACGGGGGATAAAACAGAGGGAGTTATGATGACATTTTGGTGTCATTGAGGACAATTTTACTGTGCTGGCCCTTGGAATCGAGGGTTTTTATTGATAGTCTGTCCACGGTAGAGCGGGAAGAAAAGAAAGAAAAGAAAGAAAGAAAAAAAAAAAAAAAAAAAAAAAAAAAGAATGACCGACGCAGGGGTCGAACCTGCAATCTCTTGATTCGTAGTCAAGCGCCTTACCATTGGGCCAGCCGGCCTTGTTGAAAACATTAATCCATATAGTGTTTTATAATGCAAGCAAGCAGTAATGCATGCAATGCATATGCACAACATACTTTGACGGATCAGAAATAGAACAAGTCGTGCACTGACATTACGATATCATACAATTAGCAGCTCACTCACTGATGATAACCTTCTTCAATCGCTTCACCTCCAATCCCTCCATTCCTCCCTTCTCCCGCCAGTCCTCAAGAATCTTCACCCAGTCCATCACTCCCTCGCCCCAGTGCTTCGCTCGCGCCGCCTTGAGCACCTCCTCCGGAGCCTTGGGCCTATCAAAGCCTCCCTCCATATTAAAGTATCCAGGTGTACAGTTAACCATTCCCGCCAGACCATCGGCGCGCATCGTAACCTCCCTGGACCACGCCTCTTGACCCTCGATAGATGGTTCAACCGTGACCTTATACGGACCCTGGTCTCTAGTAGCGCTCGAGATAATGTACGCAATATGCTGCGCCATCTGATCGAGGAAGTAGGTATAGTTAGCTGTGATGCCAGCTTGATTCGGCCCGGGGAAGAAGAGATTCGGAAAATCGCGAGTCGTCAATCCGTGCATCGTTGCGACGCCATCCCTCCAAGCCATGCGCATTGACTTTTGGCCACGTCCTGAAATGAACATATCCGAGCGAGCATCAGGGGTCTTTTGGCTACTGAAGTTGTAGCCTGTCGCGAAGATGAGTACGTCGACTTCGTATTCGATTTGGTTCGTGACCACACCTTTCTGAGTGACGCAGACGACGCCTTTGCCGTTGGTGTCGATAAGTTCCACGTTCGGGTTGTTGAAGGCTTGGAGGTATTCGTCATGAAAGCAGGGGCGTTTGTACCAGCCGGAGTACCAGGGCTTCAGGAGATCTGCGGTTTTCTTGCGCTCGACGACTTGGGAGACGCGGTTGCGGATTTTGTCCTGGCGCAGGAGATCAACCATTTCCATTTCTTTGAGGTATCCTGGGTTCCGGTTCTGGGGACCTCCGACTAGGGCGCTGTAAGAACGGGCACGGCTCCATTCGTCGTTCACAAGATCGGCGTCAGGCAAGTTGGGCGCATTGCTGACGAAGTTGTTGAAATTCTCCATGCGCTTTGCCTGCCAGCCTGGACCCTGCGAAACAACCTTCGCCCACCATTGGGGATCTGTCGGGCGATTATCACGTCGATCCACGGCAGAGGGCGTGCGCTGGAAAACGTACAGTTTCTGAGACCACTCCGCGAGATGAGGAACAGCCTGCACAGCAGTCACACCGGTACCGATAATAGCAACTTTCTTGTCGCGCAGCTTCTGCAGGACAGGAAGGTCTGCAGAACCACCGGTGGCCTTGTAATCCCAGCGTGCCGTGTGAAACTTCTTGCCCTGAAAGTCCGAAATACCATCGATATTGGGCAACTTGGGACTACTCACCGGGTTCGCGGTTAGGATGACAAAGTCAGCCGTGAAGGTCAAGGGGAAGACACCCTGGTGACGGTGCTGCACGGCCTTGACAGTCCAGTTCATCTCATCCTCGTCCCATACCAAGCTGCTCACACTGGTACACAGCAAGGCATGATGGTAGAGACCATACATACGAGCAATCCGGTAAGCATGCTCCTTGATCTCAACACCCGACACGTACTTGTGAGAAGGCATGTACCCCGTCTCCTCCAACAGAGGCATGTAGATATAACTCTCAATATCACACATCAACCCCGGATACTCATTCCAGCACCATGCCCCCCCAAACCCCGAAGCCGCATCCAGAAACAAAATATCATTAGGTTCAAAGTCCCTCGTCTGCAACAGCCTCACAGCATTCAGCAACCCGCCAAACCCAGCACCCACGATCACGATGCGTTGGTGATCGATTTCGGGAACGTTGTCAGTGTCGTTTTTAAATTCCTCACAGGCTGGAAAGTCGTCATCGTCGATACTTGTGTAGGATTTCGTCTCAGTTTCGACATTGGGGCCGAGATCGAGATTGGCGTATTGGGCGTTGCCCTTGGGGTGGAGACGGCGAAGGCGTTCTTCGGCGTATTTAGTTCGGATTTGATTGACATAGGAGTCGTCGAGAAGGCTAAACATGGAGGTATCAGGGTGGGAGTTTGGTTCGGGATCCATTATGTCGTTGGGTCGTTGTTGAGGAAGGTGAGGTGCGGAGGATGAGAAGACGGAAGTATAAAGGCTGACGGTGAATAAGAGCAAAATCCGGACTAGATCCATTGTACCAAGTGATTTGTTTACAAGATGCCAAGAATTTATCTCTTCTTTGCTACTCACAGGATTTTTCCTGGTTTTTATTATTTCCACCACTTCTACTGTACTGCCATCACCATGCATGCGTTCGTCACCTTCATCTACCCTAGATGCTTGAAAATGGAATCCTGATTCGGTTAGTGCAATTCATTTGTCTCAGCATATACACATATAAATGATTTACGATGCTGATTATCCACCAGCCAAATATCCTTCATCGCCTGACCAAAACAAAATCAGCATGCCGTTCTCTAACTTACCCGACGACGTACTCCTCACCATTGCTGAGCAAATCAAGTATGGCCCAGACATAAACGCTCTATATCAAACAAGCCGCCGCTCATATTATCTCCTAAATACCTTCTTATACCGACATAACGTCGTCGCTGCCATGGCTGGGGAATATGGAGGGTCATGGAACTGGGATTTGAGGAAGCCTTGTTGAAGTTCATTGCTCAGGGGGCTGATGTGCAGCAATACGAGAGAGCGGTCAAAGGGATGAGAGGGAATGGGAACAGTTCGGAGTCTGAGAGGGATCCTGTGGAGCTTCCTGAAACCTCATCTTCTTCGGATTTGATAGAATCTTCATCATCATCGTCAGAAGAAGGGGAGGGACAACAAGAAGAAATTGATGCTGGAGAAAATGACAACGAAGAAGATGGAGATGAGGAGGATGAGGATGACTCCAGCGAGAATGATTCGAGTGATGACGATTCTAGCGAGGTCGATTTCAGCGAGGACGGCTATGGCTAGGTACCTCGAAAAGACCGCCATCCGTTTCCAATAGATCACACCATCCCCAGGCTTGCGGCCACCAAAGTAAGAGCCCTGGGCAAGATCCATCTCTTGCCTTTGTACAGTTCCATTCACTATCGCAGGCAAAGTTTTGTCCAAGACCATTTCGGCGGCGACGAGCACCTTGGAGAACACCTCGGCGGCTGTATCGTCCGGAAGAATAGGCACCGCCATCTGGCCCACGATAGCTGTCACGGGCTCAGCTAGGATTATGAAACATCCAACTCATGGGTTCTACCTAGGTAGCTATCGACGAGAATAATCGACATGGGAAGGAAGAAAGGAGGTAACGCCGTAGTTATCAACAAAGCAAACAGTTGCACCCCACGTGATAGCCAGCCAACGTGACCAGGCCGTCACATGGCCCAGAGATCGAAGGATCTATCCTCATTGTTAACTTCAGGATAAATTGACCTCTTACTAGAGAGAAAGACAAGTGTGGCTTACCTCCAGATGAGTTTCTTATGTTCCAGCAGTAAGCAGAAATAGGTTAAAAGGAACACAAATCAACAGCATGACATAGAATCAGTAAAAGATTGACTGAGTCCTCAATGACCTAGCTGCTTGTTATTAAGAGGAACCAGCCACAGGTACTGTATTCAGGAAAGAAGAGGAATAGCTGTTTCATGCCAGGAAATTCCAAAAATTCCTCATTATCTTTTTCAACCCGCGGCATCATTTCGTCGCGGACCTGTAGACCTCTTCAGTGTCGCAGACCTACATTCCAATCACCCAAACTCTTGCTCAAACCGCTCTTTACTAATGGATGGAGAGTAGGTACAGACTGAAGAGAAGGTACGGACTTAAGGGTAGGTACAGACTTGAGGGGTGCAGACTGGAGAGTAGGGCTGAATCTTGTAGGAATGCCTGCATTTCAGGATCTCCATTGTCTCAGACTTAAATTTTGCGGAATCTCGCTGGACTCCCGAGAAGTCCGCAAAACCGCCGGCCGCTCCCAAGTTAACGGTGAATCTAGCTCTATCAGGTATAGCCAACTCCCCTATATGGATTGGACAATTGCCAGGCAAATTCAAGTACTTACCGTTGTGGGTAATTACATGAAGCCGCAAGATTTGGCGCCAATAGAGTCATGTCCTTGTGCACAACGCCCTTAGGGACGGGAAGTTTCTTCATGTATCCGTCACGGTCCCCCCCTCATTGGGGATACAAAACTGACCATCTGGTTTGGTTGCGGACATGCGCTTTTGACCGTTTTAGAATTGTGGTCCATGAGAGCAGAGAAGGTGAATCAATCGGGACGCATTCTTTGTGTCTTCTATTCGAAAAGCTAATGGTCGAAACCCTAGTCTCGACATTTAATATCTGACAGGCACTAGTGGTTGCCACTTTCCAACTATAACAGAATTAATAGACACTCCGTGGATATCGGAATTGTTCACCTAATGATGACCCTGACCGAACCTAACAGAAGAAATTTAACCCGTGTTGATCTTTCGGTATCTATCCTCAGTGCTTAAACATCGGTATCCTTTTTTATAGCACAAGGGTCGAGAGTGTGTGGAGAGTTTACTATAAAAGCCGTCTTAACCCTTGCAATATATGAGATCATTATCCACAAGTCATCATAATCTTTCAACGGCTTCTTGGACTTGCTGCCATCTCTATTGACCTGGCTCAGGCCACCAACCTCACGGGATATGAGTATGTCGTCGTCGGCTCCGGAGCTGATGGTAATCCCCTGGCTACTCGTCTCGCACTGGGAAGCCACAAGACTCTTCTGATCGAGGCTGGTGATGATCAGAGATTGACCTATAACTATTCCATCCCCGTGTACTTGGCCAGATCATCTGAAGATGAGGCATTGGCCTGGAACTTTGCTCGTCACTACGTCGGCTATGAGCGCCAGGCACGGGATTCCAAGACCACCTACCAAACGCCAGATGGAGAAGAGTACACCGATCTCAGCCCGCCAGGGAACTTTGTACCCTCGCGCTGATACTCTGGGAGGATGCACCGCGCACAACGCCTTAATTGCTATCTATCCCCACCAGTCCGACTTCAATCACATCGCCTCATTGACAGGCGACAATTCCTGATTGCCAGACAACATGCGCAAGTATTTCACTCGCTTGGAGAAGAACGGTTATCTGCTCCCAGGAGCCAAAGGCCACGGAGATGATGGCTAGCTCAGCCCCGAAACCGCACCGCTCAGTCTCGTGTTGAAGGATTCCCAACTGTTGAGCATGCTCACCAGTGGTGCCTTTGCTCTGGGCAATCTTACGGACAGCATCATGAATTACGGCACTTTGCTCCTTGGTGATGCCAATGCAGACACCAGGTCTCGCGACACCGAGCCCGGATACTACCAAATCCCGGTTTCGACTGATGACGCCCACCGGAACGTCGCTCGCGAGTTTATTGTTGCTGTTCGGGACGCTGAGAACGAAGTTGGTAGCCAGAAATATCCCCTCGATGTCCGTATGAACTGCCATGTCACTAAGGTTACTTTTGATGAGTCCAAGAGCCCTCCCCGTGCCACTGGTATTGAGTTCCTGGACGGTCAGTATCTTTACAAGGCCAGCCCAAGATCCAAGACCGCTTCGTCCGGCACCCCCGGATCTGCCAAAGCATCGCGTGAAGTCATCGTCGCTGGAGGTGCTTACAACTCCCCTCAGTTTCTCAAGCTGAATGGTGTTGGTCCTGCCAAGGAATTAAACAAATTCGACATTCCCGTCATCTCTGACCTGCCTGGTGTCGGCACAAACCTGCAAGACCACTACAAATCTCTGTCCAGACCCACTCGCCCAATAACTTCACCTGTCTCGATGGCTGCACATTCAACATCTACGACTGTGATGACCCGTGCATCAACCGCTGGGAATCCCCCGTCCTCGGTGACCGCGGCATCTACTCTTCTCCCGGTCTCGCGGCTACCATGTTCTACAAGAGCACCGTTTCCGCCGATGATAGCTTCGATATCTTTGCCTTCGGTGGACCTGTCAACTTCCGTGATTATTTCCCTTACTACAGTATCAATGCAACTCATGGGCACGGCTGGTTTACCTGGGCCATCCTCAAGGCTCACCCGCGTAGCCACACCGGCACTGTCACCCCCCGCTCCTCGGCCCCTCTCGATGCCCCAGACATCACCTTCAACTACTTTAACATGGGCGTTGGCGACCACGAAGCTAATCTGCAGCCTTTTTACGAGGCCGTCGAATTGGCCCGTGATGCTTTTGACCGCCAGACAGTCGAGGTAACTGAGGTCCTCCCCGGCAAGGACATCACCTCCAAGGAAGATATCCAGGACTACGTCAAGGATAGTGCCTGGGAATACCACGCCTCGTGTACCTGCCCTATTGGCGCTGATGACGATCCGATGGTTGTCCTGAACTCCAAATTCCAGGTTCGTGGTGTTTCTGGCCTGCGTGTTGTTGATGCCTCCGTCTACCCTCAAATTCCTGGTACCTTTACCGCTGTGTCGACGTATATGGTTGCGGAGAAGGCCGCTGATATTATCTTGGGTAAGCTCTGAGCTGGATATAACAGTTGGAGCCCGTGGATTTTACTTTTGCCGTGTGTGTAAATATGTATAAGAATTTATAATAAAACATCAACTTAGACTATTGACTGTGATTCGAATTGAAACTCTAGGCGTTACTAGTATTAACTCTATCACATAAGCCCTTCCTTCTGCAATTCAGTGCCTAAGAGTGCTGTCCTATACCCAATTCTTAGAAGCCCAAGCGCGTCAGTGCTTTAGTAGTTGCTATTTTACGTCGGAAAAGTGGCACCGTCAGTGCTTTACACATCCATGGCCTGTAAACCTTGTAGTACCTCATCACATGATCTTTCTGCTTATATAAGAACTGGACGCCGGCAACATGGTCATTGGTGCTGTGTCCATCCGCCATATCAACACCGAGTCAATTTGTAGCAGTTCATGGGGTTATCCTGGACTGTGTACGCAATGGTTGGGGATTTTGTTCTCCATGAGCATTGGTATTGCGGGTCATTGCGGCAGATGACAATTCTTCATTCAAGCCAGTCTGGAGGCCAGCCTTGTTGAATGGTCGCCATGTTTATTTAGGTCTTCTATGGCAGTTGCCAACCCAAGTCAATTCGAGTGTGGTGGAGTGTCGTGCGCTTGTCAGGATGGGGCAGTATTTCCTGGCGATCAGCGACTGAAATCAGCCTCGCTAAGCCATTCTATATTATTGCAATCCCCTTGGGATCACAGCAATCTTAAAAGGCAGATTTAGCCTTCCTTCCGGTAAGGCTAACACCAGAAAAATAGTCACACTGCCTTCATGAAAAGCTAAGTATTATAAGGAGGAACTTCGCTCAAGAAAACTACTACCAAATATTACATTCCCATTCATCTATTCCTCTATTTTTACATCTATTCAACAATACCAAATCAAAATGAAACTCACCTTCATCTTATTCTTTCTTTTTGCTCTTCTCTGTGCCTGTGCGCCACAGAACCGGCCACTAGCAAGTTCACCCCAAGAAAAAAAAGCAACAGCAGAGGACAACCTCAAGGTGATCAAACAGGTCGCAGCACAACAGAAGGTACAACTGGCCCCGAACAAACGGTACGCCCTGTACGAGAAGTGGCCGCCCAAGGGCCATGGGGCGTATGAATGCGTAACCGGTTGGTCACATGTTCGTCTAATCGTGGGGACCTACAAGGAGGATGACTGCGACGATGACTTTTCCAATGGCATGTCGTTTGACCTTGGGAGAACCGGCGGTGACAAGAAAGGAGGCGAGGTCACAATCAATGAACGAGAGTGGAGGGCCAACCACATTCTCGTTGGAGGCGGAGATGCCGCATACTGGCACAAAGCGTCGGCAGAAAGCACATATGACTGGGCGGGCGAAGTCAAGGATGATATGGCAACTATCAAGCGCAAAGGTATGCTCCCTCTTGTTCAATCCCTGATGCCCCTGTTGACTCTGAATAGCCACGCAATATGGAAAGGACCACGCGACATACAACCTAATCACCAACAACTGCTTGAGCTTTGCGAACGGGTTGTACAAGCAAATCCATTGATCAGGGCTCGTAACACCGTACGGGCTCCTAAAGAGGCAATCAGAAAAACGAACGTGGAATTGGCAAAAACATGCATCTATCTCGGGCCATGAACAATTTGATGGGGATTGAGTGCTGACCTACTGAAATGGTAATATATCACATATCACAACAACATTGTATAGAATTAGAGAATCCGGAATCTGGAAACAAAATACAACAAATAATTAAAATATGAACGAGCAGTATTCAGGATGGCCGTGCAAAATCGGCCAGAAATGACTTGAAAAACTACTTCATACTCGGCGTGGTTAGGCTGATTATGGTTAATTGTATTAATGGCGATGCGATATTCATGTTCCCCACAGCCACAGCCACCGGAAATCAACCTTACAAATACTTCACCTGTAGTTAACTAGTTATCATACTTCATTCTCTGCATTCCATTCTCAACAGAATTTGATAAAAACGATAATAATCATATTCTAGATTTCTTAAAAAAATGGGCGTCTCCTCATCGCAACCCACGCTGCCCGAAGGCTTTGAATTCCCGCCTCCCCCCCAAAATCGCCGTATGTTTCCTCTGTAGAGCATACATATCCTCTTGCTAACACCCACTCAATTAGATGAACTCCGTGAGCGCTATGGAGATAAAATATTATTTAGAATGTCCGGCTTCCACTCCGAGAGTCGTCTCCGGCTCAATACCGTGTTTGACATCTTTTGCACTCATTCTGAGCCAACCAAATGCAAGTATTGATGCTATGCAATGATGGTTCTCTGTGATGCTGACAACATATTATTAGTTTGGTCAGAATCCAACCTTGCCAACTTCATTCAGAGCACTTTTCCTGCAGAGTTGACCCCAATTCTCCTGAATGCAATCCCAGTTCTGCACCAATTCCTCCTGCGGCTTGGCTCATTCCCATACCAGAATGATCCCGACAGGCATCTCACACTGGATGTCCTGAAAATGGCAATTACTCTCCTCTTGGAACATGACTCCGAACAATGGATGGTTCATGGGGAAGACCAGGCCAGTTTCAGGGTAGTCGCCTTTCAGAGCATGGCCAGCTGGGATCCTTCAGCAATGAAGCCAGAAGAACAGCGACAGCGGGACAAAGAGGATGATGGTCATCTTGAACAGGTACTGGACTCAATCCAGCTCTCCAATTTCTGGAGTGATCCAGAATATCCCAAGTTTGTCATTAAGGGTCCTCAACTCCCGCCCTCATATTATCCCTCATCCTGGTCAAGAGACCTACATCGATTGATTCCAGTCAATGAGTTCAGATCACTGCTTCAATTGGTGCTCACGACTAGACTTTATCAGCATGGCATTGATGTGCAACCATTTGCAACGTGTCTACCACAGTTGGAAAACGTGATAGACTGCATGCTTGCAGCATTCAAGGAGAAAAGCAACAATGCAACTGCCATCTCTTGGGAGATATTTAATCAAATAGTGGAAAAATCAATGGTACAGATTCATTCTTACATCTCAATAAGCACAGGCTAATGATAATGAAATAGCCACATTTCCTAACTGGATGGGCTCGACTTCTCGGGCCAATGTACTCAACAAAATTTTTGGATAAACTTTCTCCTTCAGACTCTGTATCAGTGACGCAAGCCCTCTTGAGAGAAGCATTTGTGCCCATATTCCAGCAAAAGGCTTCTGTCCCCAGTGTAATCTTGGACCTTCCAACCTGGAGCCAGCTCACCATCCTGATGCCATTTAATCCCCAGATCAAAACCACATCATTGTGCTGGTCCGCTGCCAGCAAGCAGCAGTTAAGCTTATATGATTTCTACCAAGCTGCTTCGACAACCCAAAGCCAAGACCACATCATTCTCATCTCCGGCAACAATGATCAGGATTCTCATCTCATCCTAGGTGCGCTCCTGAGCAAGCCGTCCACCGGAGAAAGTGGTCAAATCATGATCAACCGTATCTTCCAGCTAAAGCAGATCCATCGGGCTTTCCGTCCACCAACCAGGATTTCTGAATGCCCGCTTCAGCTCCATGACAATCATGCCTCGATGACGGTCTTGACAAAGGATCGGGATGCGGTGAATCTGACACTCAATGAGACATCAAAGAGCGGACAATTCTCTATACGAAATGCTTCAGACCTCAAGATTGAGCTGAGGTTCAATGTTGATGCAGTTGAGCTCCTTTATGTGGACAGGGTAGAGAAGCCTATTCGATTTTAACTGAGACCTAGAAGAATGTCGAACGTTGGTTCCTGTTATAATTTTATTTCATGGTTATTTCGTGAACTTTCAACACCGTAATGAAAATATCACCGTAATGAAAAATTTTCATCCAAATGCGACTACCTCTTTTAAATCATCATTTATTAACCACCACTATGCCTAAAGCATGCGTACAAACTGAGTATCAACTTCAAGATGCTATTGTCGCGTATAAACACGCTCAGAATCCCTAAATTAGTGATATTGCGCGTGAATTCCATGTTGATTATCAATGCCTTCGTCGACGCCTAAAAGGGGTTCCTTCCAGGTTCCAAAAAACACCAGTCAACTATACCCTCAACAAACACCAAGAGAATGCCCTACGGAACTGGGTCTATCAACTTGATAGGGCAGGATGCTCCCCCCCCCAATGCCAACAAGTTGAAAAATGTGCAAATTCATTCCTCCGGCGCAGCCATACTGATTCCCGATCAAAACCCCTAGAAGTTGGGCATATCGCTTTATTAAACGCCTCCCTAAAGAGTATAAACTCCAGAAACAAAAGCCCATTGATCCTAAATGCATGAATGCTGAGGATATCAGTGTTATTGAGGATTGATATGACCGCCTGGATGCTGCTATGCGCCGACATCAGATTCAACCAGGTAATATCTACAATTTTGATTAGAGGGGCAGGGGCGCACAGAGAAAGTTGTTACTCAATTTCCTGGGCAAAATGAGACTCTTCCTTCCTCATTTTCACGGAGTTTGATCACCATATTGGAGTGTATATCTGCAGATGGATCAATCCTCTCTCCAGACCCCTCCCTTCATCTTCCCCTTAGTGCACCCTGTTCTTCTCCATCCCTCTTGCTCGCGTTCTTCTCCATCCTTCTTGCTTGCGTTCTTGCTTTTCTATCCAAACCAATGTGCACAATTCGCTGGTTGACAGCCATGAAAAACCCAAGCAGCCCCCCGCGCGGGGGGCTACCTGTATTTAGATGATAGATGGTAGTTTAGCTAGGTGACAGGCAGTTCTGATCTGTCCGTCGTATGTCCCGCACCGGGACCAGAGCCTCACCGCTTCCGTGGAAGGACTCGCCCCCGACGTAAAATAGACACACACACACACACACACACTTGGCCAGTGGCTCAGTGGTATAGACACTGAAGCCTGGCTAGCCTGTCGGTGCGCACATCACCAAGCAGGTTGTGGGTCATGATTCAGATTCTACGGAGTATGGCGTAGAGCCGACGGCGACTGTCGAGATCGACCGAACAGGAATAAAAGTCTCACTCCCATTACGGACCACTCGTATGTTTCCTAAAATAGGTCACCAATAATAAGGGCTTGATACCAGCTGCCATTCGGCGAATAGAAAGCCAGGCTCTCATGAAGCCTAGAATCGTGATACAGGTCGGGGGCGGTCGATTACGTCGGATAGATATTGCCTTGGTTACCTGACTCATATGAATCCAAACCTTGTTCGGAAAGCGACCAATTTCCGCCAACCTTTTTCGGATCAGGATTTACTAATACCCGTCCCAGCCGTCAAGCATATTTCTCTGGATCTTGTTGCTACGTGGCTCTTGTCTATTAGACGAGACCAGGAATGATCCATTTTAAGATCGTTCCCCTTCCCCAACCCCTCTTCCTTCCCGCCGGCTTGTTATTGGTTCTGTTCCTACGCTTTATTCAATCCGCGGCCCGATCCGAATCTGAACCGTGCAATCGTCCTTCCAAAATTTCTTTCTCACTAGTTAAAGTAAAATAGGTAAGTTTAATTGAGGTCAAGCATCAGGGTACTTGACTCTGATAGACCAGACTATCTGAACTTCAAGTCAAACTTCAATACTTTTTCACAGCTAAGCAAGGACTCTTACAGTACATATCACTGCTACGTCTACTATAACATGGTATTCAGGCGCTGGTGTTATAGCCGCATAGTATTGGCCCAATTAAAATGTGTACATAGCCGCTGGTATGGAGTAAACCATCCCACTAAAAACGCTGAAAGTTGTTAGTCAATGTAAATTCACTTTTCCGTATCTAATAAGTTCCTTTTTTCTTCCCAGTGACACTCACCACTTCCCTCAGCAAAATGCAACAGATACCGTGGAAACAGAATATCAACTTTCCTTCGGCCCTTCTCTTACACAGCTGCATCACCGTGATACTTAAAGAGTCTTTCAACGCGCTGACCATTCTCTATCGCCTGATATACCTCCGAAATACGAAGGGCCCAAGCACAATAACAAGAATAAGAGGTACCGCGGTACTCGACGCTTATACTTCAATCTTCTCCCTTGACGCGGACGGTTCACAAGCCGAAATGTACTTTACAAATACCGGAGCACTGCTTCTCAGTGCGTCACTCGCCGGGAGTGTAGCGATGAATCTTCTGCTCCCCGATTTGGTGCTGAATACGATAGTCGCTGGAACCTTTGGCCTATGTTTTTTAGCTTCGGTACTTGTTGGGAAGAATCATTTTACTTTGCCTGTAATGGCCTTACGTCGTGCTGGGCGCTTTATTTGGTCGGATACTCCATTTGTTAATTTTTTTACTCTGATTTACATTGCGACAGTCCTTCGCGGCCAGTCAATATTACGCCTACAGGATTATGTCACTTTCAGAAGCGTCGCAATCCTTGAATTGATATTTATGAAGGCAAAACTAGCTGCCTCAAGCCCAGAAGAGCAGATAAGATTAATGCAACAAGTGGTTAGCAGCGAGTGGAGAGTTTTATCATCGGTGAGTATGTACTTATAAGTGGGAATGCACTTTTGCTTACGGAAAATACAAGCCCAGTGACGACGAGATACCAATTTGGCGACTTCCCTATATCAATCGGCATGCAATCGTGGCCTTCCAAACGCTCCAGCGCTTAAGCGTGATGCTTTTTAAAACTTCTATCGGATACGAAAACGGTTGTTTGCAAGGCCAGAACGGCCCATGCAGATGTCATCTCCCACCACCAGGGAAATGCCTGAAAGACGAAGGGAACTATCTAAAAATCTTCAGAGTCGACGCTCAAACACTTCTTATCTCAGATTGCTACAACGAACAAGAAACCGAAAATCTGTGTTCAAGCTTCATCAGACATATGCATGGTATACTACTTCGGAGGATTGGTCGTGTGCGAGTCATTTATGCAATTAGATATGGCAAAGGAGACGAGATGCCTTCATTTCATTCCAATATCAACATGGTGACTGGAGTGCCGAAACAGTGGTTGGAAGGTTTTACGGAAGAGGAGCCTCTTGGTGAGTGTATAATAGGATACTGAACATGAAAATTTCCAACCACTTTTCAGTTGATTAAATGCCTGGAAGCGGGGTTATTAGCCACGTCAACGCTCGAGGCCACATTCCTCCTTTTCCTTCTTTCCTCATGTTGAGTATTCTCGTCGATAGCTACCTAGGTAGAGCACATGAGTTGATGTTCCATTATCCTGGCTGAGCTCCGTGACACTTCACCAAAGACACTCCAGCGCTTCCAGAAAGATATCAAGAAGGTGCAGAGAGGTCTAGATGGTATTGGAGAGGCTCTATACTCTATCTCTACCCATCTTAAAGGGCAGATTGATCGAGTTCTCAGTGGTGGACTCTTTCAAGCAGAGGCTAATGCCCACCGTGAGGAAGAGGTTAATAGGCTTTTAACCTCTGCCAGGCAAAGGAACAAGCCTCAATCTCGCAGACTAGTGAAAGGACCTGCTTTATTGAGTGATACAGGCTATCTAACTGAGAAAGATGCCAAACGCCATATAAATAGGCGTGTAGAGAAGGAAAAGCATCAGGGTCAGGGTAGGAAGCGGCGGCATCAGCAGGATGATAAGGAGAATACCCCCTAAATACTGCAGATAAAAGCTAAATTTTATATTCCTATAATAGAGCGGGACCTAGATTATATAGAAATGAACTTTTTTTTGTCTAATACTCCTCAGTTAATAGAGTAAATGGCATATAAAGATGATGGGTTGAATTTCGATTTTCATTACGGTGATATTTTCATTACGCCGCAAGTATATAGATGGTAGTTTAGCTAGAGGACAGGCAGTTCCGATTTGCCCGTCGTATGTCCCGCTCCGGGACCAGGGGTTTTCCGCGGAAAAACCCCGACCCCGACGTTAAATAGACCAATCAATCAATCAATCAATCAATCATCAGGGTCGTAGCTCAGAGGGGAATTGGAGGGGTCGATTATTCTGCACTAACGAGGTCTATATGGAAAGGACTAGCTTAACGACAGAGGTGTATTGCCTATTGAATGTACGTGCGCATACGCAGCTGGTTGAGTGCTTGACTAGCTATATGTGCGTATGTATGTATGTGTCACGGAGCATGGAGGCTCGCTAGTTGTATAGCATGTTTGATTACTTTGGCTTGTTTGGAGTAGGGCTGGGACCTCCAGCACACACTAGATAGCCCAGCGCAGGCAGACTCTGGTTGCTTCCTTTCTCTCATGTTAGATTTTCGTCAGATAGTCTACCAATATATTCCTATTGCTCGAGACCGTCACTGTGACGGCCTGGTCACGTTGGCTGGCTATCACATGAAGTAGGATTGTTTGCTTTATCAACAATCGCGGCGTTACCTTCTTTCTTTCTCTCATGTCGATTATTCTCGTCGATAGCTACCTAGGTAGAACCCATGAGTTGGATGTTCCACTATCCTAGCCGAGCTCGTGACATTCAAGCACCTTTTGCTCTATAACCCCATGCTAATATATCTTAGCTACTCAATTCCAGTTCAATTGATATTCTGGCAGTTACGCAAAAAATTCTATATACAAAATGATTTCTCTGAATTTCAAAGGGGATCTGAATAAATCGCGACATAAGTGACCGTAATGACAGAATAGGTGTAAATAACAGTAGTTTAACTTGATAACCCAGCAATTTATCCATCCTGAATAGGATAGTTATGCAGAATTCTGGTCTTGGTGGGAGTCCCATGGGACCCCCATTGAAGCGTTGAGCCGTCACACATATAGATCTCGTTTAGTCCGGAATAATCGACTCCCGATTCTCTCTTTGAGCTTCGTGATCTGAGACTTCTGCTTCAGTTGGCTCTATGACAATTTGCTAGTGGCCCACCCCTGGGCCATTGTGGGTGGGCCATTGTACGGAATACTGGTTATGCTTTAAAGAGGTGTGTGCTAACATTATATGAAGCAGCTTTATACCACAACTCCATGTCATTTCGCCTTCTGCCGGTTATCGGAGAACTAGCCGTCCCGCGTCTTCCCAACCACCACCGAGCCCGAGCCGGCAGTTGTCATTGCTTGAGCTTGCCGACAAGGGGAAATGCAACATCCCATGATATGAATAGCATTGTTGACACACAGTTCCATTCTTCCGAATTGCAAACTTGGGAGGCTCCTCGGTTACTGAGGCATGTGGAATTGACCAGATTGACAGAGGAGAACATTGATCTAGTAGTCGCCGAAGGGTAAGGAAATCCTGTGTATATAAATCAGTCCCTAAAGACCGGAGACCCAACCCACGAATAGCGCTCTCGGCCATTAGCATAGGCCTCTCTTTCCTCCTGAGTCTGATATAGCACTGCCAGCTCCAGCCCTGGAATTTCTAATTGAACATCCTTCTCCGTTGACTCGGAGCAAAATCCGACAATAACCTTTTTCAGATTGGGAAATTGCTTCTCGCGGACATCCCCAACCTTTTGTAAGTGAGGAATAACCCGTGCATCGGCGTACAAGATAGTCAAGTGCTCTATTGACGTCGGAAGCACGTCCGCCAGCTCTGGCCTTTCTTTGTCAGTCTGAGGATTTGTAGGATACGCCTCCATCGCGTCTGACTGTGGATGCAGTAGCCCAAGCAGACTGTGCATACCACTCCGAAGCTTCTTCAACTTGGTAAATTGCCGCAGCTCTGTCCCCATGTACCATCCGCGAGCCGTCAAATCATACAAAGGCAGCTTCACATGGTCATCATCGTACAGCATTGTGAGCTCCTCAAGCGTGTCTACATGGCGCTCAAGCTCTTTCACGGCCTCCTGCGGTCTGAAATGTTCCTCGAGATCACGGACTTTCCCAAAGGTATAGTTGAACGTGCGGAGCGTTCTGCAGCCCTGTGTAAACACCCGCATGGCATCCGCTCCCATACCGCTCTCGAGTATGTGAAGATACTCAACTGCAGATGAGCCGTCTCGGAGTCGAGATGGACTCATATTATCATCGTTTAGGTGTACGATTTGCACCTCATGCATCATGTTAAGAACGCCCCCATACTCGTGACAAGGTCCCACGGAAAACGCATAGTCTTCGGTTTCTATGGAGAATCGTCGGATGTTGTCAAGGCCGGAAAATTCGCACGAATCAGCGTGGTCAAACAGCTCACATATCAGGTCGCAGCTCTCAGGCCGGTCTAGGAACAGATTCTTCAAATTGGGTAGTTTGCAGAGTATAACAGCAAGCATAGGATCGCTGTACCCTTCTCTGATCCCCACTTTCAGGCGATATTTGAATTCGGCAGGAAGTGGGAGCTTTGAGACTGCTGGCTGGAACGATTGGATATCTTCCTCTGAGATTTCGCGAGGGTCATCTTGGGTTACATCCGCCACGCGAAGCTCTTCAATGTGGTTGGCTAGGTCTGGGTTGATGAGTATAGTCCGCAGGAATGAGTTGTAAGGCTGCTGGTTGTATTTGCGGTAGCTTCTCCAAAGACACGGGGTGGCTAGTTGGTGGATTTGTTTGCACGTCTGAGATAAGCGCGAAAGATCAGGTGGGCTCAGGAGACCGATTATGGAGTAGAGAACCTCCAGGGGAACGAGAGAGAATCGTGTGTCATATTGTATCTCGTAGGAGTTTATGCGTGTAAAGAAAAAAAAAAAAAAAAAAAAAAAAGTATTGGATCAAGTGAGGGCGGTCTTCGATCGTGATGTGTGGGTTTTGGTGTTTGAGCATGTCCCCTCATCTTATCTTCTTTCGCGTTAATCACCGTACCACTCCAGGGTTTAGTTAAAATAGATAAAATAAATAAACAAATAAATAACTAAAACTAAATAAAAAACTAGGAGGGACCCAGCACGCGCCGGGCAGGTTGAGATTCAGACGAACTAGCCTAGTGGGGGCTGTCAGCCTCGGGGTGCCCTGGCCCTCAATCTCCACTCCTGGTGATGTGCCCTAAACATGCCTCGATCCAGAGTTATAGCAAAAAAATTTTTTTTTTTTTTTTTAATTGCGGGCTTCGAACAGGCCTTTGCCGCCCCGGTGAGCGAACTACAGACACGGGCAACGGGAACTGGAAACAGCGACTGTGACCCGATTGAAGCGACGCTCAATGTCCGCGGTGAGGATGCTCTCACCTTTGATGCTGACTGCTGGGCAATGCTGTGTGGAGGAAAAGATCCAATTATGTGAGTGGGGAACATACGTGACATGGCTGTCGAAAGCCAAATTGACTGATTTGATCTGGGTAATGCAGGCAAAAGATCGTAGGAAAATTGAACAACAAGAATCGTTATGTTGGTATTGGAAGCGCCGCCTCTAAGTAGCCCTCTAAAAACCCCTTGTCTCACGGAATCAAGGCCCTTCCACCCACTACTACATGGGGTCTCAACCAAGACTGGAATTCCGCTGAAGAATTTCCATTTGCATCAACGGTTAGGGGTGGACAAGGGTATGTTCAATTGAGATACACTGCATCTGATGAGTTGAGCCAGGTTTTCATATCACATAATCTCGGTCCGAAATCTGATAGCATGATCAGCCATCATACATTCCGGCGACCCCACATCATTAAGGACTAACTAGTTAGTTAGTTACATTCTTATGATTAGTGATCAACTTAACCTCGGTGTTTTTCCATCTCATGAAATACATCACTATAAATGAGAGATCTACCCCTCTCAATCAACACATCTAGGTAAATAAATAAGGTGATCTTGGTACATTGTTAGAAACCATCAACGCCACAGTCCGATGCACTTAATTTGCTTGAAGCCACCTACCTTAGCACTGTTTTGACAATGTCCAAACTCCACTCTGCTGTCTACATCGCGCCTCCAGTCCCTTTTAAAAGCCCAGGCAAAGGAAGCGGCGGAGGTCTCTGGTCACCCATCTCCTGTACCCTCATTTACTCTGCCACCGAGGCAGTTCTAGTCGACACACCCATCACCATCCAGCAGACCCAAGGACTCATCGCATGGATCGAGCGCATCGCTCCCAAGCGAAAGCTCTCCTACATTTACATGACGCACGGACACGGCGACCACTTTTTCGGGCTGCCACTGCTAGTACAGCGATTCCCTGAGGCCAACCCCATTGCTACAGCGGCCACGCTGCGGCATATGGAGCAGCAGATCGAAGAGAAGAATTTTCAAGGATGAGTCACTCCTGGTACCCTGCTCCCGTTGATGCCTGAAACATGGGTCTGGATTGATTTGTGGATGAGCCAGCAAAATCTTTATTATTCTAGTCACCCCAAACTCGGAGGCAATTGACAGGGCGCAATTCCGGAAGTCGCCATATGCATTTAGTGCCACGCCTAAACCCAGTAGAAACATCACCATCTCTTCATGATTAGACACCGCCACTGTCATCAGTGGTACCCAACTACAAAATTCTCGGGTATCTGGGTTTGCACCATGTGCGAGGAGGATTTCCATGATTCCCACATGGCCCACACTCGCAGCCCCCATGACAAGTGGCTGGCGGGGGTCACGCCGATACGGCGGAATATGGGGCTCTTTCGGTTTTGGTGCGCTGATCCTTGAAAGCCAAGCAGTGAATCCCTCCGCGATCTGAAGCATAGGATGTTGAACCGGTAGGCGGTCATCGTCGTCTTCTTCTCCTTCTGGGTTGTTCCCGTACCTCCGGTCAACGGGCTCGTCCACTCGTTCTAGTGCCCGCACGTTGGCTCCGTGAGCGATAAACTTCAACACTGCGGCTTCGCATTTCAACCTGATCGCCGCCTACATACCATAGGCGCTGTGGTGACGGATGTTGTATTGATACAGGAAAGGGTTCAAGAGCTGATGGAGACGACTGTTTGACCGGCTCAGGACATTTATGTCCGGTTCCTCTTCCAATTTCTCGGCAAAGGCAAAGAGTATGTCATCTGGCAGAGCCGAGAAGTTCATGATGACTATTGTGAATGCATGATCAATGATCTCTTGGTGGGTGGGCGATGTGGATATTTATGTGCTGGTAGATGGAAATTGTAACTCGAGCTGTGATTGCCCATAACAATTGAATTATTATTCTGTACAACTCAGATTTGTCCAAAAAGGGATTCCGCCAGAATGGGTGTTCCGATTGGATCTGACACGCTGTACCCTGGTATGGAAAATCTTTGGATCCTGTGACCAATTACATCGATTTAAATACTACCTACATGTTATGATTCATTCAGCCTCGCCAACAGTCAGCTGACTTGAGCCTCATTAAAAACTATATTAGGCAACCTCTATCACTCCAAAACTTGCATTCAACAAAATAAATCCAAAATGGACACCTTTCTCCCTCCCGAGGCCCCTCCAAACGCCTCAGCCCACCTCATCGACTTCACAACCACCAACCCCCCAATCCCCGCTTTCGCCAACTCCTTCGCCGCAGTCATCGACAACATCCTCACCGAAGCAGAATGCACCGAGCTCATCCGGCTCGCAGAAGCATCCACCTTACCTCCCAACGACACAACCGCAACACCAACATGGGCACGCGCGATGATCAACGCAGGCAACGGCAAACAAACACTAGCCACAGACACGCGAAATTGCGGCCGAATCCTGTTCGACAGCCTCGACTTGGCCGATAAACTGGTGAAAAGAATGATGCCGTTTTTGCAGGAGCTCGGAATTGATCGGGTCGAGAACAAACTGTTCGTGAAACAGGGGACAGTGTACCGTCTTTCAAGGCTGAATGAGCGATTGCGGTTTTTGAGATATGAGGGTGGGGAATATTTTCGTCCGCATTGGGATGCGATGTATAAGACACCTGATGGGAAGGAGAGGTCGTTTTATACGATTCATCTTTATTTGAATGGGGAGGGGGAGCAGGATCTTGAGGCGTTGAAGAAGGAGGAGGAGAGAGTGGCGAGCTTGTGGAAGGAGGAAGGGGATGGTGTGTTTAACCGGGACATCAATGGGAAGCTTCTGGGCGGTGCGACGTCGTTCTTCCCCCGGTATGAACAGCAGGATGTGCAGGTTCGGGTGTTTCCCAAGGCTGGGTCGGTGTTGGTGTTTCAGCACAGAGATCTTCTGCACAGTGGGGATTCTGTCTTCCAGGGGGTAAAGTATACGATGAGGACGGATATCATGTATTGCGAGGAGTGAATGCTATAATTCCTAGTATACAGATACCATACAGATACCAAATCAAACAAGTCTGGCTTTCATAAACTGGGCGACCTTCAACACAGCCGGATCAACAAACTCATCCTGATCATAAAAGTCCACATGCCTCGCCTTTGGCACGATGACCTTCTCAGTAACATAGGAAATCAACTCATCCAACTTTTCCGTATGCCACCTCGACTCAGCCTTCTCCCCCGCAATCAACAACACAGGCTGTTTCAAGTACAAATCAGCCAAATTAAACGCATCAAAAGTCAAAATCCGCGGCACACTCCGCAGCAGCATCTTATTCTGCGCCCGCGGATGCTGTCCTCTCTTCGTAAGATAATACTCATGCGCCTCCCTCATATCAACAGGCGTACTATCCTCCAACTTCAACGGCACATAAGGCACAGTCTCATACTCAGCTCCCTTACCCTCAGCACTGATCTGCTTTGCAGCCTTTACAATGATATCGCGCTGCTTCGCGGGTGCATCCTGTCCATACCATCCATATCTCCCCGAGTCACCAATGTTCACCAAACTAACCGTCGCAACGCACTTTATCCGGTGATCGGCTTTCGCAGCTGCAACGGCATACCCGCCTCCAGCGCAGACACCCACGATCCCAATCTTCTCTGGGTCAACCGTGTCAAGGCGCTCGAGGTAATCGACAACGCTCCAGATATCGCTGACTCGGGCATTCGGGTCTTCGAGGAAGCGGGGCTCGCCCTCGCTGGCTCCTTGGTGGGAGGCATCGAAGGCGACAGTTGTGACGCCGTGCTCTTCGGAAAGCTTTTTGGCGTAGGTGCTTGCTGTTTGTTCTTTGACGCCGCCGCCCGGGTGGACGATGATTAGGGCGGGGGTCTTGGGAGTGAAGGGTTTGGAGGGCTTGAAGAGGAGCCCGGAGAGTTTGAGTGTTCCCTTAGGGATTGAGACGGAGGTCATTTTTGTAAGTTATAACATGTGTTTAATTAGATGAACTGATCATGACGGGAGACAGCAGTGTCCTTTAAGGGGGCCCATACTTATAGGTTGAGTGAGCATGGGCTGACGTTCGTTGGCGACTGATTATAGTTTGGAAAATGTCATAGAAAACCCCGCAAAATGCCCAAGCTAACCCCAGATTGGCCCTTGATCGCAAGGTCTGGGACCACCCAAGTTGTTTGGATACAGGAAGCTCAAAGTTCTGAGGTCATTGTAGCTTCATAGTACTTATTCAGGAAATCAGTGGAACCCATACACACCGCTAGGCCAAAGAAAGAGACCTAATCGCTTAATGAGGCGAAGATGATACAACATCCACCAGCATTAACAGGATTGTGCATACCAGGATGTCAAACGCGAACCTGGTTACCTGCAATTCCTCTTTGGGAATAGCGGATTCCCATGATGCGGAAGGTGGAGCTCTACCATAGTTTATTCCTATTAAGGTTAGACCCACCGATCTGGACATTTCAATACATATCTCAGGCATTCAACTCTGCAATCCCAAGAAAACACTGCGAGCATGTGGCTAACTCGTTCCTGCATATTTGCTAGTAACACAGGTTGGGCACTGTACGACAGACGCATGTACAACAAGTCAGGGTAGATTAGCGCCTCCTGCATTCACGGCCAGCAATGACCCGGCTAGGCTGATACACAACTCACCAATTATTAGGAGATAACGAGGCGATTATGACCAGCAAAGAGGTTTAGAATTCCTGAGCTAATCTATCTGGCACATGCAGAAGTGAATTGTAAGTGTAGTTGAGTGTTATAAGTAGCGAATACGCCACGGCGCTTACAGTCTTCAAGTCTCCCACCTATTGCTATTCGATTCAAGACATATCAACGTTTCCTCAACTCGTTTAAAGCCCTCCAATGAGCTCAACTCAGCAAACCAACCAAATTCCCAGGCAGTCGGTCGAGCATGACGATAAACCGAAAGAAATCGACCCTCGGGACCGTGCTGCCATAACCGATGGCCTATCGGATCAATCGAACATGGAACTTCTGTCCAAGGCTGGATGTGCTACAAAGAGGAACAGACTAAAAGATGGGAGCAGCACTCGAGCATCTCCTGCCCCGGAGAGTCGATCTTCATGTTAGTTGTCTCCTTCAACTTTTGACGATGTTGTGTTCGGGGGGAGGTTAATCTTATCAACAGGAGTGAGATAACGGTGCCTTTATCATTTGTTGTTAAAGAGGGAGTGCCTGTCTTCGAGCGAATCTTCTGGAATGGGACATATTGTGTTACTGTACTTCGGATCAATTTCATTATTGTTATTTGATTGGGCTGTTTAGCTATAGCATCTATTTTTTTTGACTCGGGCGATTATATTGGCGTCAAATACTGTGATTGGTGCGCTGGTAGCTGTTTGTTTGTTTGTTCCGGCCACTGTCTTTGGGTAGAATCTCTATTTTCGGTTAGCAATTCAATCTCCCTTTATGCCCCCTCTATTCCTCTTACCAATTTCTCACCGCATCAGCTAACTATCAGCTCTGCTTGCTTTCATTCTTATAGAGTACCGAAAGGTATTATACCAGCTGGTATACTTAACCCTCAAAGCAATGGAGTTCGACGACATTGGCCTCGCCGCTTACAGAGAACAAGCGCTACAATGGGGAGAGCATTTTAGAAAGTCTGCCTTGGGAATCTGCGACTTGGCAAATATATATCGGAAACACGACGACTGCATGTTTCGCTCTATACATTATGGTGGCTTTAATTTCTGCATCTGTCTTTCCTGGGACGATGGAGGAGAAGATTGGCTGATTCGGTTTCCTCTCCCTGGGTGTTCAATGTTTATGGACAACAAAGTACTCAATGAGGCGTCGCTCATGAAATACATTGCAGACAACACCAATATTCCCGTACCACGTGTTGTCGTTTACGGGAAAGCAGAAGATAGTACAACTGGTCTTGGGCCATTTATCATCATGGCTTGGGTGGAGGGGACGCCAATGTCAGAGATTCTTCGCAAGAAGACCCAAGAAGAAGAAAATGACGACTATGTATTAAACCTGGATATCGATAAGAAGACGTTGGAGACCCTATACGGTCAAATGGCGGGTGTTTTGCTAGAACTTTGGAAGCTCGACTTTGACCGAATTGGTACCCTACGCCTGGATGAATCCGGCAAGCCATCAATAAAAGGACCGCCGTTGACGCAAGAAACAAACGAATTGATCCGGACAGGCAACGTGCACAATTGCGTTCCTTCTGGTGTCTATCATAGCTCTGTCGACTATATTTTTTTCACTTTTGGAAAATGCAGAAGATAAATCTGGAGAGACAGCGGAATAGTGTCTTTGGTGCGGAGGACTGTCGAGAGAAATACACATGCCGCCACTTGATGAAAGCTATCGCGTTGAATTTCATTCGCAACAACAATGGCCCATTTAAACTGTTCTGCAATGAACTTCATCCAAGGAATGTGCTTGTGGATGAGACCACGCTTCAAATTACTGGTTTCATTGATTGGGAATGTTGCTACGCAGCCCCGCCCCGATTCTCAGAATCCGTTCCCTGGTGGTTAATCCTGCAACGACCAGAAGACTATATGAACGACAAATCATACATTCCTCGCTATCTCGGCAAAGCAGACTTGTTCCTGCGGATCCTACAGCATAGAGAGGATGTAAGAGGTACAGACGCGACTACGGATCGACTATCGGGCGCGCATGCGACAATCACCCCGAGACAAGGCTATCTGGTCCAACCTTTCCTGTGTAAAATTCACATCCGTAGATGGAATTTATTGGAATATGTTTGATGGATACTGCCGGAGTCCATCATCCAGGGCAGAACGAGTGCATCCTACAAACGTGGAAATGCATTGACATCGTGAGGACTTTGTGCGGTCTAGGATCAGTAGTCTCCAGGAGTATGACGTTGAGATGGACAACAGCTATAAGGTCGGATATAAGGAAGAAGTATATCGTCCGCCCACGATCACGGACAAACAGGTATGAAGCCTGACTGTTTGTGTGCCAGCCGCTAACGGTTATTTAGAGCAATACGGAAAGTCATTTGTATTTCACTCGTGCTCTGGGTATATTTACGCTGGCAGTGGCTGTTAGTCTATGTGTCAAGCAGTTTCGCATTTGATCCTTGCCCTACAGATGTATACCCATGGAAGTTTTTACATAGAATATGGATTAACATAGAGAGTACTCGTTAATTCAGTTTAACCCAATGCAAACAAAAAGAAAAGCGCTAATCCTAGTACAGAAACCCAACCTGAACTCCATATCGCCTGTAACACCATAATTCATCCATATCGTGTTGACCTAGTCACCGACTAGTCATGATCCGAAACTGCCTTACTGCGTGTTCTGCATCACTTGGCCCATAACTTCAATAATCCTGTACCTCACCATCATAGCCATAATCGCGCCGCACATTGCCACTCATCTGCCCATCCCCAACGGTATTGTATTCCTCATCCTCATCCTCATCCTCATCCTCATCATCATCATCATCATCATCATCATCATCAACCTCGTCAACCCCCCTCTGCTGCAAAGGAAGCCCTCTAGCATCAACCCCCCTCTTACCCCCCGTAACAAGATTTTTATAAGCCGCGGAAAGACCCGCACCCACATCCACCCCGCGCTGCTCCTTCCGCTGAAGAGGATACTCAAGCGCATCAAGAGCGTCCTCCGAGTCATAGATCTCATTGTCCACCGCGCGGCTGTTAAGCACTTCCTCCGGATCAGCTAGCCAGCCAGTGGGGTGGTAGCTGGTTTGAATATTATCAGGAAGGAGGTGATCCGGGAGATGCTCGGCACGTCGGGCATTCTGATGCTCCTGCTGCTGTTGCTGTTTTTGGAGACCCTCCGCGACACCGCGCACTACCGCGGCAAGCGCTGGGACCTTGATGTCGTCACGCTTGATCTTGTCCTCGCGCTGACTGCGCGAAAATAATGGGTTGCGGCCGGGCTCAGTGCTGGCACCGGGACGGGCAATTGGGGTGTAAACTGGATGGAGGTTCGGGTTGAATTGATGTGGGGGGCCTGTTACTGTTAGTTTGGACTTTGGATGGTTTGGTTGGAGTAACTTACGCTGATCAGGGATGGAGATAGGGATGTGTGCGAATTTAGGAGTTCCGATGTGTGTAGTAGGTTTGTTCAGGGTTGTGGTGGTGGTGGTAGTGGTGGTTGTTGTCGTATTTGTTGAGCGGAAGTTCGGGGGAGCAGGGGCCGCGAAGGCGATGGTGGTGAGGGTGCTGATGAGGATGAATTGGTAATGCATTTTGATATATTGCTTTATTGTAGATATATTTTCTTTGAATTGTTGTTTGCGATTGAAGCGGATTCAGGGTCCATTTATTCTACATGCACAAGGTGAACGAGGCTGAATTGTATAGCCCCCCCGATTGGTTTCGGCCCCGTTCCCAATATTTGGGGCCGAACCACAAGGCTAAGTGAGACTTGCAATTAACTATCTAGCTAAAAAGAGGCTGTGCATAGTACCAAGTATCCCAAAATTAACCATAATATTAACCAAAATAGTACATAATATACAGAGCTCATAATAATAGTATCGTTGTTGCAATCAACCCCTAACCCAATACTCCCTCAACCCATCCTCACTAACACACTTCCACTTCCCAATATCCCGGTCCTCCTCCCTCCGATCCTGCATATTCAGCTTCAGCCCCAACCCCAAATTATACGGCCGATACTCCGGATCCCTGCGCAAGCGTCTTACAACACTCCCATGAATCATGGCCTGCTTCGGGAGTGGCCGTCGCAAACCATGGGTGTGCCAGCGGGTCATGACGATCAACCCATCAGGCTGAACGGCGGGTCTCTTAAACGGTAAATACTCCAACAGTCGCCAGAAGAACGTTGTGAGGCCCTTTCCGGAGTCGAAATCGAGCGAGTCGTGGATTTGGGCTGTCTCTGCCGTCCGGACTGTGTCTTGGACTTGGCAGAGTGTTGTTTCTGTGGTTGTTGGCGATGTGGGCGTTTGTCCTGGGGATGTCACCTCCCATAAATCGGGTGTTAGTTGCTCGATTTTCTTCTCGTCGAAGGTCAGGCCTGCGCGCACGGCTTCGTTTACCATCCAGGCGAGCGGGATGTGCGATGTGGGATATGTTTCGTTGTTTTCTCTGTCCGGTCGCCAACCTCCGCCGACGTCGCTGTGGTCGCCTGCGAAGTAGATCTCTTCGAGGTCTGTTGGTGCATCGTCTTCGGGACCGTCTGAGTCTGCCGCGAAGACTTCCTCGGTCTGCTCGTATATGATCGGTCGGCGACGCTTGATGCCCGATTCGTTGGCGAATAGCACAGGCTGGAATTTAATCCGTCGCTCGTCGATACTAACCGCATGGCGAGTGATGATCGGTCGCGGCTGACAAGCATTCCAGTTCGTACTCCCGCTATTCCCACTACTCTTCTCAAACTCAGCGACGCTGTTGACTGTGTCGAATAAACCGAGGAAATAAACTCTGTCGATCGGCCGACACATCGTCTCCCTACTAATCCGCAAAATCTCATACGCCCGATGCCGTCTCCTATGCGACTGCGGCGCAAACTTCCAATCCGTAAACGCCTCCCAGACGAACGGAATCAACTCTTCATTATCGGCACTAATCAACCCGACATAATCGAGCATCTCGTTCAGGAAACGCGCTGTATACGCGCCCCGTGAGAAGCCGAAGAGGTAGATTTTCGAGCCTGGTTTCCATCGGCGCGCGAGGAACCGGTATCCGCCGATGACATGTTTGTTGAAGGAGGTTGCGAGGGCGAGGTCGAGGGCTTTCTGGGTGTTGAGTTTCGTGGTTGGGCGGAGGGCAAGGCTTGCGAGGCTGCTGGGGGAGATTTCGGTGCCGATGCCGGCTTTTCATTTGTTAGCATTTTGACTGAGGATAGATCAAGGGAAGGGAAGCGGCATACGCTGATAGTAACAGTAGCGATTCTCCTTCGTTCGGTCAAGGAGACGGAAGATCTTGAGGATGTTGCTTTCACCTCCGTCGGCACGGAAGGTGTTTCCTGTGCCGTCGAAGCAGAGGACGAGTTCTCTTTCGTTTTCTTGTTCTTTTTCCATGATTATACACAATACTGGTGGTGATACTGTTCGAAAATAATTCTTTTACATGGCACTGACGAGGACACGGTATTTATAACGGTGAACGGTCTTCCAGAACCGGTAAGTAAGCTGATAGTTTATGGATCGGCCTGATGATCACGCCCGGTTCACCTTTAACCCGTTACCCTGAGGTTCTCCTGATATCATATTGAGTCACTAAGGCTGTGATATAGTTACAAGCCAGAGCCTTGCTGACGAGGCTTTGAAGTTTAAGTTCATTGAGTCGAGAGTCAGAGCGGAATGTGATATAATATGAGATGTATTTGCCGAGGCACTAAAACAGGCATTTGTGGCGGAGGCATTGGCATTCATTGGTATTGATAATACAGGGTATGCATGTTGATCAGAAACCGGATAGAATCATAGCAAACTGCCCTGTCATATTGTAGAAAGCAAGGCGTGGATATTCGGATACTCCCGTTTCGGCACACTCCAGAAAAAGAACCCAAACACCCACAAGAACCCAAGGATCCTACATCCCCTGACCCTTTCCTTCGTCCACCTCCTAAGCATCTTCACAACAACACTCTCAACCGCACCCGCGACAAAATTCACCAAGAAAAACCATACCTCCCTCCACCCAACACTCCCCCAAACCCATCGCATAACAACCGCATGCGAACACCCGCTGATCGCAAACACCACAAACACGCACCACCACCGCTCCACCACGCCCCCCGGCCTCAGCCGCAAACCCCGTTGCCCCACGCACCGCCCGTAGTTCGTATACGCCCGGTAAACGAGGCGGTGCCAGAAACGGCCCCAGAAGCCGCGAAGGGTGTATGCCTTGCCCGGGGAGCCGAAAAGGGGGGTTTGCCAGTCGGTGGTGTTGTCGAGGCGGAGGATGATGGTGAAGAATATGCCGAGGGCGTCGTGGGAGCAGTCGAGAGTGAGGTAGGCGGTCCAGATCCAGTCGATTGCGCTGAGGGAGCGGATTGCCGTCTCTCTGTATGTTATGGGGCTGTCGGGGGTGGGTGACAGTAAACGGCGAAAGTAAATCTCCTTGGTCGGGGAAAAGTCGTCGGCTGTCAGGGGCAGGAACGGGCCTGGGAATATGTATGTTGTCCACAGGTACATAAGCGACAGGTGCAGTGTGATGCGCGCCACGCGCACGATGGTGAAACGGATCCGACTCTGTGGAGGGTCATGATCGCGATCGACTGTATGCGCACCGGGTACCTGTCGTGCTGTTTTTAGAAACTGGGGATTGCTCCAGAGCTTGTATGCCGCGACAAAATTATATCGCTTGTCCGGCGACGGGCGCGGAACAACCCATTGCTCGATATATAACAGCGATGTAACATGGACGAAATACACGGCGAGACCAATGGCCCAGAGGTCTGCAATGTCCTCAAGCTGGTTGGCGGTGATTAGAGAAATGTAAGATGAGAGAAGGATGAATGGGAGCGACCAGAGGCGGGTTGTGTGGTGGAGGGCGATAGACACGAAAAACACGGATATTAGAAACGAGAATACTGGAAGTAACATGGTGCTTGCGATCCAGTGCGATTCAAACAAATCCTTCATCCATCGCCATATATCTTTGTTTAGGCTAACTGCGATATTGGGGGTGTCAGCAGTGTGCCTTGAATATGTGCCTTGGATAGCTTCGTATTTTCCAAATTAGAAGTCGGCCCCAATCTGCCCCAATCCCCAGGCGCATTTTGGATTCACTGCCATGGGGCCGAATGGCAACTAAATGTTATAAAAGAACGTTAGATATCGTCTCAATTATCATCATCATCATCATCATCATCAGCAGCATCACAATCAATCAATCAATCAACCAACCAAACAGTCATCACTCTCAATCTCAATCTCAATCCATCTTTCTATCTCTCTATCTCTACCCCAATACACAATCCAACCATCAAAATGAAGACCGTCTTCGCTGCCCTCGTCATCGCCCTCTTCGCCTCTTTCCTCCAAATCTGCCCCGCTCCCATCGGTGGCCTCGCCAGAATCGGCGGCCGTCTGATCAAGGGTGCTATCGATGCCGGCTCCGACATCAACGACGAAGTCCAGAACAACTCCCGCCGCACCCTGATCACCCTCGACGGCGACCACTTTGACGAGCACGCCTACCTCCAGGCCCGTGACGATGACCCGTTCGCTGGTCTCCCCGAGCCCGCGGCCACCCAGTGCAAGGACCAGCTCAAGGATGTCACGGTGAGCTTTAAGATCAGCGGCAACACTGTTACTATTGGAAGTGTGCCGGCGACTTGCATGACTCTGGCGACTGTTTTCTTGGGTGACAACCCGGGTGCTCACGGTCCTATTCCTATGAGTGAGTCTTTCTTTAACCTTTCTGGTGATATATTCCGAAGTTAATAATATATAGGCTCCTCGAGCTTGAAGTACACCAACGTCGACCAGGGTGATATCCAGCAGCTGCGCAGCATCATGAAGCAATAGATTAGACGGTTCGGTTCGGTTCGGTTTATAGATACAGGTAGCGGTGTTTGGTGTTATTTTGGTCATTATTTCCTTTGATCTCTCGATGTTTTTATGCGATCTGTCTATATTTTTGTTATGGGTCATGCTTTTTATGTGTTCTTTCATGCGATTGGTGTGCCTGGAGTTTGGATGCAACGGAGATTACCCGAATAGGAAATCCTAAATTTGAGAACTCATTTCAGATTGATTATCGGCCCTACTTCAGCCTAGTCTATAGTAACGCCCATTAATAGGATCTGACTAGGGTCCTGTATCAGATCAACAGCCGAACCGAGGATATCTGTTGAAACGGATTTGTAAGGTTGTATCAGATTTGTAGGCTCCAAGTATAAATTCTCTTCGTTTCTCGAACGATTCTATCTGTCAATCCATTCATTCTTTATCAGAGCAGGTCTCTTATCACTTTATTCATTCTTTATTATACTCACCCACTCATCAAGATGAAGTACTCCCTCACCCTCATCGCCCTCGCCAGCACAGCTCTAACGGCTCCCACCCAGCCCGAAGAGCGCGGCCTCTTCCCTGGCTCCAGCTCCGGCTCCAGCTCCGGCTTTGGTGATTTGTTTGGCGGGGGCTCTGGATCCGACTCCAGCTCTGGCACCAGCTCTGCCTCTGGCGCTGCGTCGACCCCGTCGTCGACCTCGACCACCACTTCCGCCCAGGGAACGGATGCCCTGGGCGACTTTAGTAACCTTCTCGGCGGTTCTTCCTCGTCTGGTACGTCCCAATCCCCCCCCCCCCCCCCTTCCCGGCTCAATGTGAACACAGGTTGATGATTGAATAGTCGGCGGAAGCACCGAAAACGGCGTCACCGACAACAACGGATGCCAGCCTTTGACCTTCATCTTCGCCCGCGGCACCACCGAAATGGGCAACATGGGCTCTGTCGTCGGACCACCCGTCGCGAAGCAACTAGCCTCCCAGACCAACAATAAGGTCACCGTGCAGGGTGTGGACTACCCCGCTGATGCTGCTGTACGTCCTGCCCCTCCCCTACCCACCTATACCTCACCCCCATAGCAGATATACTGATAAGTGGTAAATAGGGCAACGTCTCCATGGGCTCCTCCGGCGGCCCCAAAATGGCCTCTCTCGTCAAACAAGCTCTAAAGCAATGCCCCAAAACCAAAGTCGTGCTAGGCGGCTACTCGCAAGGCAGCATGGTCGTGCACAACGCCGCCAACAGTCTGTCCGCGGACCAGATCTCCGCAGCTGTGCTGTTCGGAGACCCGTTCAAGGCGCAAAGTGTGGGGAAGTTGGATGATAGTAAGAGGAAGGAGTACTGTGCGCAGGGGGATCCGGTTTGTTTGAATGGGGGGAATGTTATGGCGCATTTGAGCTATGGGGATGATGCGGAGGAGGCGGCGAAGTTTTTGGTGGATGCTTCTGGTGTGAGCACTTCTTAGGTTGGAGTCTTGTATATACTTCGTTGAGGTTAGAGAAATTGAGGGAGTAAGATGAGTGGTAACTATAAAGGATGATTATTAGACCAACTCTGTAGGCTGGGTATACTTTGCTGCATTGGCTCGATTGTGATGACAAATCAAAGAGAATGGATAGTTAAGTAAACGGTATTATTACTATATTAGACTAGCTAATAGCCATGTACTACTCTGTAGACTCTAGAAAACATGCCCTGGGCATACTATACAAACTACCCAGAGGGTAGTTGTACCATAGACATGTTATGTTGATCGCTCCCAGCTTAGAAGACCTTGAAACCACCAGGCATCAGAGTCTGGAAGACACCATACGGGTCATACTTCTGCGCAATCGATTGCAACTCCTGGTGGTTCGCAGGCCCGTATCCGGGGAAGATCTCCTGGAAGCCAGCGGCGTCGCCCCTGTGTCTGTTAACACCCGCATACACCAAAGAAACCATATAAGGAAAAAAAAACTCACATGTAATTGAAGGGGTCGTAAAGACCAGCCTTCTCAGTCGCATCGTTGATCTTGTTGGTGGTTTGCTCAACCCACTCCATAACAGCATCATCATACTTGCTCCCCGTCCACTCAACAACCTCCGCATAGCACAAGTACACCTTCTTAGGGTCTAAGCCGAGGGCGTTGCCGCCACGCTTGGCAGAGGCTTCCATCCACAGGGAACCAATGGGCTGCCAGTCCAGCTGGATGGTGGTGAGGTTTGCGGCGGGGACCTTGGCGTAGAGCTTGGGGAGTTCGGCGAAGAAGGTGCTGTTGATGATGCTGATGCCTTGGAGGAGTTCGGTGCGGTTGGTACCTGTTACGGTCCCGGCGACGAAGATGTCGCTGTCGTCGTATTAGTACGATGAATTGGAATAAGGGGGGAGTGAGGGGAAGCGTACTTGATGTGAGGAATGACCATGGCGGCGGTCTCATCGGCGAATTCGCGGACGGTTTTGAAGGCGAGCGTGTTGCTGACAGCGGGGATATCGGTAAACGGCTTGAAGACATCGGGGTAGCTGATCATGTCACTGTCGTAGAACAGAATCACAGACGCCATGGTAGTCTTTCCAGGGACGACGGCAGGGACAACATGGGTCTTGGGGTCAGAGATATCGGCCGAGAACGTAGCAGCAGCCTATCTAGTCAGCACCCAACCTACCAAATCAATTGGAAATGGGAAAAAAGGCATACCTCCAAGAACTGATCAAGATACTTCGCCTCAACCGTATAAGTACCACCCCAGATCTTCGGCGACTTAATAGTCTCGACATCAAACCGGGTAACAATACCAAAGTTACTGCTTCCACCCTTCAAAGCCCAGAACAAATCAGGAAGATGCGTCTTGTTCACGTTCGTCAGCAAGCCGTCCGCAAGCACAATCTCGTAGTTGACCACGCTGTCAGCGGCCCAGCCGACTTCATTGCCGTAGAAGTTGACTCCACCGGCCAGGAGCAGACCGGGGACTCCGACGGGGCCGATGCGGCCGCCGGGGACGGCGAGGCCGTGGGGTTCGAGGTATTTGTAGACGTCGGACCAGCTACACATATATTAGTGAGGATTATGATTGAGTTGGGGGTGGAAGGGCATACCGGTATGCCGGACCAACGGAGAGCAAGGACTCATCCTCCGACAGATGCAGGGTCGTTAAGTTAGACATGACAATCAACACGCCATCGTTGATGTTATTCGCGCCCTGCATCAACATCAATTAGCACCTATCCTCCCACACCTAGTAGACTCAATCCCTATACAGGGTGTATAAAAGACTCACCTTAATCCCCATATGCCCCCCACCACGCACCGCAAACTGCGCCCACGCATCAACCAACTTCTTCACCCCCTTCGCCAACTGCTCCCCCGACTTCGGCCGAAAGACACACCCCGGCGAGAGAATTTCCGTGTTGGACCAGAACTCCTGAGACTCATACTTGTACACGCTGGTGTTGGGGGCGTAGACGGAGCCTGGGAGGGCGTTTTTCAGCGTCTGGCAGCCTGAGTTGGCAGTGGCCGAGACGGCTAGGGTGACTGCTGCGAGGGCGGAGGAAAGGCGCATTTTTGATGGTTTTTGGTTTTTAGTTTAGTTTTTTTTTTTTTTTTTTTAATATATTAAGAGTCAATATAGTGTGAAGAAGTGAAGAAGGATTCAGGGAATCCCAGTAAATAAGAAAAACGAATACATGGCCGGGGGAAATGCCGGAATGGACTAGTGCTAAGCGCAGACTAACAGCAGGCTAAATGCGCTAAAAGGGCTCCTTTCCGATGCTAAAGTTGAAGATCGGGCCCGGGGGGGAGGGCTTAATTAAATCCCTGAATCAGGTTTCCGTGGTCCGTGATTATCGCATTATTTGTATTTGCATAGCCATAGTACAAGTAAAGTCTCCGTGGAGAACTGAAGAAACCCCAACACCGCGCTATATAACAAATAGAACCCGTAAATCAAATCAAAATAAACATCGTAATAAAACAGATCACCTCCGCAACCCATCCTCAACATCAAACTGCACCGTCCTCACAATCCCATCCGCCTTACCCGACCCCAGCCCCGGCGGTGCAGCCGCCTCCTTCAACACCACCTGCTCCTCACTATCCCGATCCCCCATGGTTCCCCCTTTCCACGTACTCGTAGAATACTGTTGGAAATTCCCCGAGAAGTTGGGATTATCGCTCCTTGGAATCGAGTTGAGCGGGTGTCCGTATTTCTTCGAATGCGAGTACGAGCCGTATCCGCCATATGATAGACCAAGGAGCTTGGGGAAGTAGCGGCGCACGAATGGGCGCATGGCTGTTATGCAGCCGCCGACGATGCCGAGGTTGAGTTCGATGGCGCACCACATTAGGGCGTCCGTGGTCGTCCAGGTTAGATCGGGGGAGTTCATGAGGATGTATAGGGTTGACAGGCGGATGCAGCTGACGACGCCAACACTACGTTCATTAACAATCTGCACTTTAACCAAGATAGTAGGGGGAGGAAGGCTTACAAACACCCCATCGTAAGAATCACCCCAACAGCAATCTTCTGCCTCATGGGCATCTGCAACTTCCACAACCACGGAATCGGGACCAACACCGTCGCAAAGTCCGTAAATATACCCAATCCCGCATTCGCAAAGTAAAACACCGGTCTGTTCATACAGCTTCCACCCGTGATTGTCGCATCCCAGCTCTTCGCAATCGGAGTGCACGCGAAGACATTGGCGAGCACACTGCCAACCTCGTAGCCCACGGCGACGAAAACGACGAACCACACAGCGATGTGGAAGGAGCGGCTGGGGAAGATGCGGAGGTAAAAGACAAGGACGGAGACTTTGCAGAAGCCGGTGGCGGCGCAGTAGAAGATTGCTACGATCATGTTTTCCTGTCGCGTCACTGTTAGCTCGTTCATTCAGGTTTCATGTCAGTGTAGGGTTGGAGGCGTACCTTCATAAACCATGGCGAGAGATTAGGCATAGCAGGAACATCCCACATATGCTTCCCAAGACCCCAATTGAGCATATCCAATGTCACAGCGGTCATGACAATAGACAACAGTAAAGCAATAATCATCAAGTCTGTCACCGTCAGCCCTGCACCCACATCATTATATCCCAGATACCAGATAAAACGTACAATCATCAGCCTGAAAGTTCCTCACAATACACACTCTGGTCCAGGTACGCACGGCTAGCGCAAGCACCGCCAAGGGCAGAAAGATGCAATTCACAACAATAAACTTGGTCCCCTGGTACTCCGGGTCGACGAAGTTGGATGTCTTCCCTGGAGGGGGGCTCATGGCCGGGATGATCTGGGCGTCGGCCATTTTGGTTATTGCATGGGTGTAGTACTCTGTACAATAACCCGGGGTATAATAGTATAGAGAATGAAACAAAACAGCTATGAAAAAAAGGAAATAAAGGAAACAAAGAACGAACGGGGGGGATAATGATAATAATAAATTAAATGAAAGGAGCCCAGCAGCGAGAATTAAAAAAAAGAGAAAAGGATCAACCAAACTGACTGACATAAACCCACCACCGTTGAATATCATTGTTACGGAGGTAGTACTACATAAGAGTACATTATTATTCTAACAAACTTCCGGGGAATTGTCACCTCGCTCTCAATACGAAAGCCTATATCCTCCATACGCAGTACTCCGTATGTACGGAGAGTATAGACTTTCGGAACAAGACCCCCAAAGCCCTAGCCCATCTCTACTGCCAATATGAATCCCTAAGCAAAACCCAAACCATTCCCGAAGCAACTCGCCTGATAAACTCGCCCAAACTAACAAGCTAAATGACGATTTACACCAACTTTTGTCATTCTGAAACACCGGACATAATGACAGCAACGCCTGCAGACCCATATCGCGCAGAGTCTGTCCAGTATTAACTTTTGCAGGACACGGAGGAGCAGTTGCTCATTCGCATCCTTGCAGGATTGAGTAGGTGGTGGGCGAAGAAAAATGGGGCGGGCGATCCACGCACCGGAGATGTGGGCTCGGAGATCTTGCTGGATGCGGTCATTGCTCCTGGGTCCAGGGAGTTGGGTCATCGTCATCGTTCATCGGAGAGATGAGATTAGACCGGGGAGGAGGAAAAGAAATGTGATGAACTGGTATTTGTAGATATCGGGTTTGTGTATCTGTGCATTGATGGTGCTAGTAAATTGTGTGTACGGAAAATTTTGGTATACATGTGGGCAATGTAAACACCGAAGAGAATACATACTGACGGTAAGGACCGCGGAACCGGAAAGCATCAACGTAAAGTTTATGCTGAGTACTCAGAATTGGGTCTCCTACTCTGTACGGATACAGACCTTGAATTCAAGTCAAATCATCTCCCAATATCCCAATCTCCCCACTCTCTCTCCCGCCCCCCGAACAATACATTTGTTCACTGTCCCCTTCCTAGTACCACTACTGGCAATAACCCGGGCCATTGCTATGGATCCGATTCCCGTCCCCTGCCCTTCAGCAAGGTTATATCCTCCCGTCGTGACGAATCCAATCAGTTCCTCCTCCGTGGGGATCGGAAGTTCGTCTTCTCCGTCCCCTG